TAGTAAGTATAAATTAAAATTTTTTAAATTGTTTTAATATATCATTATCATATTTATTGAAATTAATTATATTGTAATTTTGTTTAATTGTCTATTTCATTACTAATAAGTCGTCATCGCTATGAAATATGGATGCCAACATTTTGAAGGCATTGTTATGCAGCTGTGAAAGTGTCACAAAAGATCTCGAATCATCGGAGGACTATCAGAAATTAGTCAACGAAGACAAATTTTTACCAACATCTAGTAATATATTTAACGCATTATGTTCTTCTTTGACAAGTTTGTTGTCTTACAAAGTATCAAGGGAAGCTTATCAACGTTATACCGTGAGACTTAATGTAATTGTATGTACTTTTGTGAGCAGAAATTTACACGCAATTTCATTACACTATTTTACAATATAAATTTGTTGCAGGATGTCTTGCGAGATTGTTGTAGGATTAACGAGGCCTTTAGAAATTTCAATGTATTTGTTGATGGAAAGCATACCTCTACATTCCTCAGAAATCTGTTGGACAAGTATGTAACAAACGATTTCTTAGACACCTGTGATTCAACCGAAAATCTGTTACCATTATCTAGTGCTTTAATGACCTTAACATCTATTGATTCTTATTACAAGTGTTATGCAGAAAGACTGCTTCTGAAACTTGCAGAATTGTCTTCTGATGAAGAACAATCTTGTGATGAAAGTGGACGATTGCTATGTTATGCTGTGCAACCAAAGTCCAATTTGAATCTTGAACTCTCAACAATAGAGAAGATATATGATTTACAAAAATGCAAATTAATGGAACAGCCATTGCTAAGTCATTTTGTAGCATCTTGTACAGAGTTAAAAAATGATGACAATGAGAGTAATTTAAAGACTGTCGATTTGTTGGATCAGTTGTTTGAATTTGCTAGCGACTCTCCACATATCTTTCTTTTAATATGTGCTTTTATGAAAGAATTGTTACTACATTTAGATTATCATCCTACAGTCATAAGCTTCGTACAATTGATTTTGAAACGTATGAAAGAATCTTGTGAAAATCGAGGCAAAGATATTTTAGATCTATATCCAAGAAGCTTGCAATCTATTGTGATTTTGCTGCGAATAGAACCAGTATATCATACGGATGATTCTAGAAATGCTACATTGGGAACATTGAAAGACATATATTCCAAGGATAAGGATACAGCAATAACTTTGTTGTCGCATTTCCCTCAATGGTTGAAATTATTTGCAGAACTGCTGTTAAATGCAGACACCATTTAATAAACAAGACGTAATTCGAAATTATTAAAATTAATTTATATTTTCAGTATTACATGTTTAAGAATATATCAGTTAAGAATGTAAAATAATAAAACAGAACGAATCAAAATAAAAGCTTGAATGTGATTGTATCAAAAGAAAGTATCTTTATTAAATTACTATTTGGTTGCATAATATAAATTTAATAGTTTTGAACAGAATGTAATAAGTAAATTAAGTTATTAATCGCGTATACAGCAGGTGTTCTTACACCGTGTTTTTTTTTCTACCTAACTGTTTCTAACTTGGTGCTACGCGAAACAGGGGTCGAATCCAACCATTAACCAGATATGTTTATCACAAAACTTATCTATACGTTTCACACAAAAACAAGCAACGTTAATCTAACAATACCGGTCCATCTTTGCTAGAACAAACGAGAAAATAAGGAACAGAAACTCGTGTCTATATTTCGATCCCTTTTGTCTTGGATTTAATTCGTTCATTTAATTCCACGATAATTCTAAAACTGGCCTAAATTTTCAAAAATACTTTTAAGTCACTCAGTATTCTAAATTTTTGTTGGAAAAATCACTTAATTAATATTACGTGTATCGTTCGCTGATATAGTGTTCGAATTGCGTTTGAATCGAAAGACCACTGACCCTTTCAAGATGGCGGTTCAAATTCAAACCGCTGCGCAATCAAATCGATGATACGTGACTTTCGAAGATGACTCTTCACTTCAATTTTACGCTCGAATGAAATGTCTCGAAGAAAATGATCGAAATGTCGATGAAACGAAATAAACAATGAAATTCAATGCAGAAATAGTTCGATCGAAATATCAGAGAATCCGTTGAGCACGCGCGCGCGCGCCATTCATCACGCGGAATTCAAACCTGTGCCGTGTTTAAAACTAATCAAAACTTGTCGATAATCAATGAACAACTACTTTCTTACGGAAATCGGACGACTCACGACGAAACATTCGCTACGCAAACTGTGGAACGTAAAAGAACAAATTGGAACGACAGACTTTCGATCCCGCGCAGTGTTTCACTAAATCGACAAAAATCAAAACTTATAAATAAAGTTATAACGAAAACGTAGTTCTCAATGATTTCAAATATATCGATATCTTGTTAAAAGTTTCAGCATGAAATTTAATACGATTTGGATCTAACTATATAAAAACACACAGGAAACAAACATTAAATTTTACAAAGAACACTTCAAAGTTATTTTGCACTATAATCAACTTTTACGCATAGTCATCGGACACAAATTACGATGTACAAAGAAAATCTTTCGTATGTCCCACAAAGTTATGATTTTTATCTCGGTATGTTTATACGAGTGAAACACTGTGCCGCGTTGCAGTCAGAGATGCGCACGTAGGTGGCGCGTTCGAAGATGGAGCATGCGCAGTTTTAAACCTGAACCGCTTCTAAGCGCGGGACCGATTGAATCTCTTGCGACGGCGACGAACCGTTAGTAATGTTTTCCTCGGACACTGAGCTTTTGTTGGACGTCGTTACGCCGGAACCCGACGTCATCGGTATATCGTTGGACATCGGAGCTTGAGAGGCAGGAGCGGACAAGGATTTTTCAGGATTTATAGAAGATGGTTCGGCCTGGCGTGGCAGGGATTTGCGTCTTTTCAAAGATTCGCGTTGCCGCTGATCGGCCTGCCGTTTTTCCGTTTTGTTCTTTATGCCACCCAGCGGCTTCTGCGTTACCTGTTGAAGCCAAGAGTATAGTGTAGGATCTCCTGTCGATGAGTTAGGTCAACATACCCTAAAGGATCATTAACAAAATAATAATAAAAATGATAGAGCACCGGGAAGAACGCAGTATGCATTTGCCTTCGTGGCGGTAAAATTTATGAATTTGACAATGTTCTTCCTTCCCGGGACTCTATTTGCTACGCAGGATGATGCATACAATTGTAATCGAATTGTTCGTCGAAAGGCAATGTAAATTGGAATAAAAATCGGATTGGTAAAAAATTGAAATTATTTACGGTATGAATCACCCTGTACGAGAGTAATGTGATCGAAGAATGGGCATTTATCGTGAAATCCAAGTAATATTACTCTTTTGATTTAATCAGAATCTTCACCAAGTTCGATTTTCAATTCTCATTATTTCTTTTCTTCTTTTCTTTTAACAGAAGCGATTAAAATCGTTAAAGACCAACATTTAGTTCCTACATGTTTATGCAATTAGTATGCATATACTTGTTTCGTGGTACACCTTGAAGATATAAAATGTTCTTTCCTAAAACTCGCGCAGACGTAAAGGGGGCGGATCGTAAATATCGTTGAAGACCACTAAATCATAAACTTCTTTTTAGAATATCGAAGGCGTACGTTGAAAAAAAGAGCCACTGCTCTCTCTCTCTCTCTTTCTCTCTCTCTTATTGCACCTTTAGTGAGGAGAACGAAAAAAGAACTACGGCTCGTGTTCGGGACCCGTTGTCGCAGTAAGCGCAAGCGTTTCTCTATATCGTAGTAGAAACGGACATTTGCAACCAGGAATATTTATTTTACTTTTTTTATACTTTGTACACATTTTGCAAGTTGAAACGATACGAAACACGGACAAAAAAAAAATCATATTTGGACCAAAAATCGATCGTTCGACGTCTCTCTCCTGACCGAATCGCACCGCGCATGGGATTGGCTCTCAGCGAGAAGGTGTGGGGAGGAGACACGTGTCTGCGAAGCATGCGCAGAAGCCAGAGTCGGAGAAGAGGCGGAATCAAGCTGCGTGACAGGGGGAGGGGGGCGATCTTGAGCGGAATTGATTTTGTTCGAACGGTAGCAGCGTGGCGCGAAATTTGAATTTGTTTAGCGCGGGAACTTTCGAGCCTTCTATCGTCGAAGGAAGCGCTTGCGGCTAGAACGTGTGCCAAACACGTACTCACGTGTTAGCACGCTTGCTCACAGCAGAAAAGAGGGAGGTGTTTGAGAGGGGTAGTTGGAGCAAATGGACCGCCTACTTCTCTCCTCTACTTGTGAGAATGTCCGGGTGAAAGTATAGACAGTAGAAATGTTATAAAATGAAATGCTCTGTTACCTTGTAAAACGTGTTACATTTAACATCGAGGCGATGAATCTTATTTTTTTTTTTTTGTTTAATGTTTTGTTTTTAAACGCGTGAGCCGTAGTAGTACTGTTTCTATCATTTTGTTCTTACTGTTTGTTTTTTTTCATTTTCTTTGTCATCGTTCCTTTTTTTTTCGTCGAACACACAAGTCGAATAGACGGACAGCTGTCATACGTAAAATGAGTGTCGGTTCCTCTTATATCGTTATTTCTGTTTTTTGTTTTCACTCTCGCTCGCTCTCTCTCTCATACATATACACTCTCCACGATGGTTTCGTTTTCTCTCTTGGCGAAAATTGCTTTACGTTCCGTGTAACTATTACAATCAACCGAACAAATGCGCGTGTACACGTACCAACACGCGTTTACATTACGCGTATATACACGTGTACAGATGGATTCGTCTCGTTCTTTTCCTTCTCGAAATCACTCTCTCTCTCTCGCTCTCTTTTTTTTTAAATGAACACTACTTTCGTCTCATCGTTATTCATATGGTTTTGTTTGAATCGTTTTGCATTGTGCGGGCGAAAGGTCGTCGCCAGTCGTGATCTACACGGTGACGAATCATAATGTAGCGACTGTGTTGAGCTGTTACTTGCCCCGTGATACACACGTGGTCCGATCTTTCGCCCCCTCCGACGTTGCTCCCTCTCTTCTCCTCTCTCTCCGTTTTCTTTAGCATTTAATATATTAAAATATTACAAACTATATAGCGAGAAGAATGTTGATCCAAAGAAATCGTTGTTTCATGAACCGTTTATCCGACAGATCGTCCTCGGTGCTCGTATTATCTCGAAAAAACTTGACTTTTGGATTAGTTTATAATAACAATAATATTATTATGCTGTTTTTATCGATCCTCGAAATAAATAACGTTCAAGAGCTGCGAATCGTTAAAAAATGTTCGTACGTTAAGTGTTTCTGTTCAACGTTTCACCGACGTCGGAAACAATGCATCGCGGAGATATTAACAGTTTCGTTCGACGAGATCTTTTCATTGTTGAAAATCGGAGCTGCGTGTTCGGCCCGGTGGAATAAATGACTCGAACGTAACAGGCTGGAAGTCAATTCATTGGAAAACATTGTCGGTATAACACATTATTAATCCTGCTGCCTGCTAACTCTAACATATCTCTCCGTGAATCGTCCGAATGCAGAGTGCCGTGGTGTATCGATAGTGTTGTTGTGCTTATCGTTATCCCTTAGAGCTATTTACAAAATTCATTCAGTGAAGCCTATTGAAACGTAAGAGCAGAATGATATACGACCGATGAAAGGCACAATTACTGCACACGCGAACTCATTTGACTGTGCACAACAAGAAAATGCTTTGCACGTCGCGACACCGAAATATTCTATGCGGTTCAGGGCCTCGATATATAGACATACATACATACATACATACATGTATGTATACACATATGTATATATATCTCACAGGCAGCGACACAATAACCAGCAACTTCAATGAAATCAAGATATCTAACGACGCATCGTCTAAGAAGTATTCTCTACGAGTGTTCATTAACCCCTTGCACTTGAACTTTTCCATGCGAGTCGACCAGCAACTTCAGGAAAGCTTCAAAAACTAAAGTCAAACAGAATGACGAGAACAATCGAATCTCATTTCCGAAAAGCTAATGCTTACTAGTAAAAGATTGATCAGCGAGCGAATAACGCGGGAATTGGCCAGATTATACAGATTTAATCAGGAATGTAGCACTGTGTGCGAGTCACGAAGTGCGAAGGGTTAAAGCGACACGAGGAAACGTCGCGTCTGGCGTTCTTCAGCCCCCGTGAGGGGTCAAAAGCCAACACTCTGCATTCTGTGTTAACAGTAAGAAATTAGCCTGGTGATCGAGATATATATATAATAGTTTAATTATAAAAGGAAAAGAAAGTGATAAAGATCGTTTGAAAAAATGCCTTCGACGGTGCATCATTCCCGTAATCGGTTCCCGTATTCACGATTATTTTCTTGTTTCTTCCGTTCACGAAGAAATATAGCTCGCTCCGTCGATTATCTCTATACACGCACGCATGCACACACACGAGAGCACGCTATAAAGAGGAAGAAAAGAAAACGCCACGCTTTGAGGGTGATTTCCCTTTTGTTTCATTTTTCTTTTTCCTGCTTCGGTTTTTAAAAAAAGGGATGTTTCACAAGTGGGTCCGGTGGGGGGTGGGGGGTGGAGTTGTGTTGGGCGATTCGTGACGATTGCGAACCTAATCTAAACGCGTCCGTCGATCTAGATTCCGTGTTGGCGATGTTCCGGTTCATTTAATTGTCATCTAAAATTTGAATCCTGCCCTGTCTGTCTCCTGTTTCGTTTCTTTCTTTTTCTGTTTTTCTTCTGTTCTGTTTCTTGCCGTTTTCCTCGCACAGCGTTCTGCGTTCGCGCATATATATGTACACATTTGTTTTTTTCATTTTTCTATACACCGACTGTACGCCAGACCTCAGTGGGCCGATATAGAAGACGGGTATGAAACCGAGTTAGGGGAAAATAGGTGTTGGTGAAATAGGGACGGTGGGGTGACTGAGTGAAGAACACGATCAAAAAGGAGAGAAAAATGCTCTATCAGTTTCTAAAGCGCTATACGTTTGAAAAAACGGGGAAAGAGAGTCGATCGTTGCAAGAAGCGTATTCAAGAGTAAAAATGAAAAAAAAATGTAAATGAGCATGAGAATAGAAAAAAAGAAAAAATCGACAAAATCAAAAATCAGCCCGCTCGAGGCCGGTCCTATTGATCAGTGATTTAGGACACACCTGCTGATGTTCTTTGTAATAAATGGTACTAATAGTAATAATAATAATAATAATAATAATAGTAATAATAATAATAATAATAATAATAAGGAGAATAATCGTAATGATAAGTATAATGACAATATAATCGTAATAATAATAATGATAATAAGCATAATCGCAGCGAACGCAGGATTTTCATGCCGCGGTCTTTTAATCTCTTTATCGCGAGCCGCTAATAAACAGCTTAATTGCTAGTTAGAAGTTTGACGCGATTAAGGTTTAAGTTTCATTTCTTTTCTTCGTTAAGTCTAAACGTTTCGCCACAGATGAGTGGCTAACACTAGCGTGAAGTTATAGAATTTAATGAAAGGTAACATACATACACGCATACTTTCTTACTTTCTTTCTCTCTATCTCTCGCACTCTCACTCACACGCTTTCTCACTTTTTTTTTNTACATACATACATACATGTATGTATACACATATGTATATATATCTCACAGGCAGCGACACAATAACCAGCAACTTCAATGAAATCAAGATATCTAACGACGCATCGTCTAAGAAGTATTCTCTACGAGTGTTCATTAACCCCTTGCACTTGAACTTTTCCATGCGAGTCGACCAGCAACTTCAGGAAAGCTTCAAAAACTAAAGTCAAACAGAATGACGAGAACAATCGAATCTCATTTCCGAAAAGCTAATGCTTACTAGTAAAAGATTGATCAGCGAGCGAATAACGCGGGAATTGGCCAGATTATACAGATTTAATCAGGAATGTAGCACTGTGTGCGAGTCACGAAGTGCGAAGGGTTAAAGCGACACGAGGAAACGTCGCGTCTGGCGTTCTTCAGCCCCCGTGAGGGGTCAAAAGCCAACACTCTGCATTCTGTGTTAACAGTAAGAAATTAGCCTGGTGATCGAGATATATATATAATAGTTTAATTATAAAAGGAAAAGAAAGTGATAAAGATCGTTTGAAAAAATGCCTTCGACGGTGCATCATTCCCGTAATCGGTTCCCGTATTCACGATTATTTTCTTGTTTCTTCCGTTCACGAAGAAATATAGCTCGCTCCGTCGATTATCTCTATACACGCACGCATGCACACACACGAGAGCACGCTATAAAGAGGAAGAAAAGAAAACGCCACGCTTTGAGGGTGATTTCCCTTTTGTTTCATTTTTCTTTTTCCTGCTTCGGTTTTTAAAAAAAGGGATGTTTCACAAGTGGGTCCGGTGGGGGGTGGGGGGTGGAGTTGTGTTGGGCGATTCGTGACGATTGCGAACCTAATCTAAACGCGTCCGTCGATCTAGATTCCGTGTTGGCGATGTTCCGGTTCATTTAATTGTCATCTAAAATTTGAATCCTGCCCTGTCTGTCTCCTGTTTCGTTTCTTTCTTTTTCTGTTTTTCTTCTGTTCTGTTTCTTGCCGTTTTCCTCGCACAGCGTTCTGCGTTCGCGCATATATATGTACACATTTGTTTTTTTCATTTTTCTATACACCGACTGTACGCCAGACCTCAGTGGGCCGATATAGAAGACGGGTATGAAACCGAGTTAGGGGAAAATAGGTGTTGGTGAAATAGGGACGGTGGGGTGACTGAGTGAAGAACACGATCAAAAAGGAGAGAAAAATGCTCTATCAGTTTCTAAAGCGCTATACGTTTGAAAAAACGGGGAAAGAGAGTCGATCGTTGCAAGAAGCGTATTCAAGAGTAAAAATGAAAAAAAAATGTAAATGAGCATGAGAATAGAAAAAAAGAAAAAATCGACAAAATCAAAAATCAGCCCGCTCGAGGCCGGTCCTATTGATCAGTGATTTAGGACACACCTGCTGATGTTCTTTGTAATAAATGGTACTAATAGTAATAATAATAATAATAATAATAATAGTAATAATAATAATAATAATAATAATAAGGAGAATAATCGTAATGATAAGTATAATGACAATATAATCGTAATAATAATAATGATAATAAGCATAATCGCAGCGAACGCAGGATTTTCATGCCGCGGTCTTTTAATCTCTTTATCGCGAGCCGCTAATAAACAGCTTAATTGCTAGTTAGAAGTTTGACGCGATTAAGGTTTAAGTTTCATTTCTTTTCTTCGTTAAGTCTAAACGTTTCGCCACAGATGAGTGGCTAACACTAGCGTGAAGTTATAGAATTTAATGAAAGGTAACATACATACACGCATACTTTCTTACTTTCTTTCTCTCTATCTCTCGCACTCTCACTCACACGCTTTCTCACTTTTTTTTTTATTCTCTCCACCTCCCGCAAGAGCGAACCGATTATTGTATAATTAGTAACAGGACACATTATTGGTTTCTAACGCGAGCGCGGCTTGCAAAACGCGAGACCCCAGCATGGAAACCCTGCGTGATAATAGCAGTGATAATGATAACAGTAGTGGTCAAGCCCCACCAAATATAAACGCAGGCGTGGACTTCGGCTACCCTTTTCAACTTTTTTTTTTTTGTTTCTCTTTGACCACCGTCGACACATCCCAGCAAAAAAGGCTCGCCGAATTTGCCAACCGTTACAACGTTTGTAAAACAGCAAACGAAACACCAAGCTATTCTCTAACAATCACCTTCTCCGCTATATGAAAAAAAAGAACATTCGATAGACAACTAATGATTCAATATAAACTGTGTGTTAATCCATGTGTGGCGATAGTAAATTTTTTTTGTCGTTTTACTTCAATAGTACTTTTCTCTCACTAGACACGATTCAACATATAGAAAGTTTATCGTTATTATTTAATAATAATTATTATTTATCATTTTATAATTATTATCTTAAAGCTGTCTAAGGACTCGCTGCGTGGCAGGAGCGTCGTGTTTCATCTTTTCCTTTCATCATCATCTTCTTTTTTTTGTTTCTTTATATTACTTTGCTTACTCTTACGTGTCAGACGATTTTTTTTTTCATTTGTTTCCTTATATCTGTCTCTCTGTGTTTCTTTGTTTTTTCCATTTTCCGTAGTTTTTCTTTTTATTCATTCAGTTAGGTACGCTGTAGTCGTCCTCACTTTTTAATAACGTGTATTTGTGTTTCTTAATTGTTTTTGTTTGTTTGTTTGTTTGTCTGTATGTGTTTATACACGTAGTCGCGTACATAGGTAGACAATGGTGGTGTCTAGATCACCATAGGTGTACGTGTGTGTATTTCTTTTTATATCTTACATATATACTACTTGTTGATGCTTTGTAATTTGTATAGATCACAATGTCATACCATCTGCGCCAGTGAACGATTTTCTCTCTCCAACTCTTTCCTTCCGTCGATCTCTTTCTTTCTCTATTTTATGCCTTTCCATTTTGACGTTTCCATCAAGAACGGTCGGTTCAGACATTAATGCTTGTGCACAGATCCGGGTTCACCGACCCCCTTGAACTCAATGAAAGTTTGATGATTCGCACGTAAACACAGGTATAGGCGGTTAAAAAACATCACGAGCGTGGAAAGTAAATATTTGATTTGAGGGACACAGTTAGCTCTTTCTCTCTCTCTCTCTTCCTAGATTTCCTGCCATCATTCGGTTATGTTTCATCTCGACGTAATCACGTTCGGAGCATTAAAAAAGAAAACAGAATCACGAAATACAATTAAAGGAGAGTTAACAACAAAAAAGAAGAAGGATTATAATATGTATATAGATATATATGCAAATATATATATATAAGGATCAAACTACTCTTAAATCGAAGAGGATCGGGGATCTTTCGTGTCTCGATAGTTCACCCACTCGTGCGTATTCGAAAATTTGTTATTGTGATTTATATTTCATTTCTATTCATCAAAACCTACGTGCTAAGTAAATTCAGACCAGCCGAAATTGTCGATTTAGAAGGAAATGCAATCAAAGAAATATCTTATCGAAATAGATAATAGGTTCATTGCTAAAAAATAAATAAAATTTTACTCATCTCTTCAAACGTGTTAAAGGGTGCGCGCCCGATAACGCACGAACCGCGCGCGACCCCCTCATCTCTTTCTTCTTCACTTTATTTTATCTTATCTTTTTTTCATTTAATTAAATAGCACTTTATGCGTTTCATGCATCTATGCCGCTCACTGCTCGATTAATATTTTTATTCCGCACCAGCGCGAAATTATACCTCACGGATTAATTTGTTCGGTCCGCCGTGTTTGCCCCCAAGGTTTCAAGGGGAACCACGCACGCGATGAACGAATAGACTTATCATCATCATCTTCTTTCATTCTTTTTACTTTTTTTCAATCATTTTTATCATTGTTGATATTAGCACAGCGTTGCAGAATCAAAGCGTATTAAGATTTTCCTTTTCCATTGAGAAATCAACGCACCACACGACTGCGGGTTAATTCTCCTCCGACTCGGTCGTTCGTTTTGAATATTAATTATTTGCTTCCTTTTCTTTTCCCCGTTCGTTTTGTCTCGTTTATCTTTATCTTCCTTTCGTCCAGGGAGTTGGACCTAAGCGACTGCTATGGGAACGGTAACACCACTCAATTCGATTGACAGCGTGCTGACCGGTTCGAGTATTACAGTTGCTTGGGTCCACGGACATTGGCATTTCGTTACAATTATACAGTTATATAGATTCTATATAAATACCTAATATGCATTCGTATAATACATACCTAATATGCAATTGTGTTATAACTCGGTCGTCACTCAAACGTAACGTAATTACGTACGCGTGCACACCGTCTCTTGTACCGTTCATCTTTCATGCGATGGAATTATTTATCTCGTGTGTGTTTGCCCTGTGTATGTGTGTGTATGTGTGTGTTTTACGCATGTGTGTACTCGCGTGTGTATGTATACATGTAAGACTAATCTCGTTTGATTTCTATATAGTGTCACGGTTCTCCAAGCGTTCGTGTGTCTCTGTATACGCGTGTATGTGTACATTGGTCTAAAGTTGTTGCGCACGTGTGTGTTTATATGTACGTGTTCGTTTTGCATTTATACATATTTATATGACTCGCGTATTGCATTCTGTAAGTGGCGTCACTCTGTTAATTATTCCGGACCACCATGCATCCACGTCTGCATGCGCGCACATTTCCCCGACGCGAATCGATGAAACAAAACATAACAGAATTAACTTTGTATAATATACATATTATAGGGACTTGTATTCGCCTAGCATTTCTTTTTTCCTTTTCTCACCTATGTTATATATTATTTCATAATTATTTTAATAGAGACGTCGTTCAGTTTTTTTTTTTTTTTGTAAACGAGTGTGTGCGGCGTTCGCGGTCGAAATCGTGATATTCTATCGAGAACGTTCTCACGTAGCGAGCGAGTGAACACCGTTCTCCGTATTTTTGCGCGAACTTAAGCCCCAGGCGCGCTAGTCTAAATAGGTGTTAACGACGGCGCGTTTCGTGCATCAGGCAGAAATCGAAGAATGTAAAACGGGATGAATTCACGCGAAGCTGCAAAAGCGACAAAGATCAGGACACGTCGATCAGCCGAAATATTCGATTCAAGCAGCTGCGGTACACCCATGTAATCTCCAGGGCAAAGTTGGCGCATATCGTACTATGACACCGCTTTCCACGATCAACGGGCCTTTGTCTAACGCGACCACCCACACCACGCTCTATCCATTCTCCCCGCGATATAATCGCTAATATAACAATTCATTTATTCATAAATTCTGAACGATCAAATTCAATTGTAACGTGATAATCCACTACAGTCCATTTCCCACTAGAGAACTCACTTTTTCCTTTTTTCTTTCTTTCTTTTTTTTTGACTCGTTTATCATCGAACGTTTGGTGACTCCCGTGCATCGAAAACCGGGTTCTTGATTTTTTTTTCTCTGTCGTTGAAAGCGTACGGAATCGGCGAAACGTAAAATGAAGAGGATAGACACCTTTAAACTGAATTTGACGCGCAGCCACAGAAATGCATTTAATACAGCCAGGAAATGAACGGTAGTACTCATAACGTTAATCAATGGCAACTCGTATTCACCTAAGGACATCGCGCGATTAGAGCTCTATATCCTCGATCCCCGTCGTTGCGTATTTTCTCTAGTTTTTCATTTTTCTCTGTATAATCGCACGAGCGGCATACTCCGCTTCTTTTCGCGCACTCACATACAGACATACACACACATGCACGCACGCACGCACGCAGGCGCGCGTGGACGCGCATCATCATCTAGCCTCCTCCTTCCACTATCCTTCATCGTTTTTAAACACCTCGACATGCGTGGCGATATATAGATCATTCGACAGACGATCAAGGTCGCGCATCCCCTTCAGCATATCTGTATGATCACGGATCTCTCTGTTATCAAACATCAACGAATCAGCTGACATTGGTTGGCGACCATCCGCGACACACCCACATACAATACATACATACATACATATATATTTATATATGTATGTATATATATATATACATATGTGTGTGTGAGGGTACGTGTTCATATATATATAAATATATAACCATTCCAGACGAGATTTGGTGTTGTTATCTTTTTTGTTACTTGACGATGAGTGACGGCGATAGTGACGGTGGCGATAACGATGACGGTGACGGTGACGGTGACGGTGATGGTGACGGTGACGGTGAGAATGACGATGACGATGATGTCGATGTCGATGAAAATGGCGATGACGATGGCATTTGACTCTGACAAGTTCCTTTAGTTCGCTTAATGACTTGAAAACGAGTTACGGTTATAATTCCAAATGTTCGAGTTTAAGTTAAAGCCTTTTTCACTTCATTAAGGGAGAGTCTAAATTTGGATTGGGGTTAGGCTGTTGTGAGGTCGATGGTGATGGTACCTGTGTCACCACCGAGCCCCTCCCCTCGGGCAAAGCGTTTCCTCCGCCACCGCTGTTCATACCGACATTGTTGCCGACACCTCGTTCCCTCATTCTTTCACAATAATCAGCAAATATATCGCGAAAATTCGCCCAGGATTTCTCTGGTACGGTGATTGCTGTTCTAAAGTGCGTCTTCACCTGTAAAAACACCGATCAAATTATTATCCAGCCCTCTGCAATCTCTTCACTTAATAAACTATAATAAGCACTTGTAAGAGAATTTTTATCAATGTGTTTCTATTCAGTCTCTAAACGTTAGAACCCCTTTTTGAAAAGTTCCGTTGCTAGATTTACAATCATCCGAATCGATACGTTTGCAATTAAATCCTTGTGTGCACAACGAAAATGTATAAATAGATTTAAAGCTTCAATTTTGAAAATTAGAATCAATGTTTCTTTATTGTGTCAGAAACGTGATGGAATAATCAAAATTTAGGACTCAATAGTACACTTTTAAGGCTTGAAAGAAAGGAGAAATTGTGTTTGCGTAGAGAAATACCGATAACGTATGAAAAGTTAAAAATATACTCGCAGCTTTAGTAAAGGATAAGGGTGTGTTATTAATTCACGACAATGCTCTTTTTCTACCCTATTCTCTACGTTTACCAGCCCCGTGTCAACAGGCTTCTACGTTCTACGTTAAAAGCGAAGAAAGCACAATGGGTGAAACTGAAGGATTATAAACAATGAAATGGCTTTGACCCTCGTTAAAGAATATGCATAAATGCCGATATAAATCTTTTGACAAAATATTTCGGAAGAGAAATAGTTCATATGCGGAGTCAATAATTTCATATGCATCGACCGATCAAGTGCCATTCTTTAGCTTTCTAGAAAACATTTAAATGTGAATTACATATCGTAGGAAATATTAATCGTAGTTCTCATTAGATGTTCTTCCTGCACTTGGAAGATTTTGTACATCTAAGTTATTTGACAAATGGATTCAGAACATCAAACTATATTTATACATAGTTTCAACTATTTCCAAGGGACGTATATCATGTACGACAATTAACTACTGCTCCCAAAGCGGTGTCTGTTTCACAGCATCAATTCGTTAAACTTCTTAAGATCAGCAGACTTTGAGTGTAGGTGTGCACTTCATGCTCTAGACAAATGGCTGTGACTCGGAAATAGGGCATTGCTCTGAATCCTCCTCCTTTGAAGTGTTGTTCACATGTTACACCTGAGTGTGTATCTTTAGTCCAACATGTATATATACCTCGGAAATTCTCATGTAGATCCCACGGTTATTCTGGCCGATATCAAAATAGAAATTCTTGCTATCCACACGCATATACCGTCCATCTGGTAAGTCTATCTTGAAACCACCATCATCTGTACCATACTCCTCGAGGAGATCCGTCAACGAGTCACGGAATTCAATCATACCCTGTGCTGGTATCGCGATTTGCGTCCTCTGTCCTCCTCGTGTGATTGTTTGTGATACCTGAGCAACACAGGCAACAACCATTTATTAACGATTATCTTTACGCGATAAGCTTTAAGAAATAACTGTTTCAAGGGATTAAAAGGGTTATAAAAACCAATACACTCACTGTAAAGCAACTCACCCGTAAGAATCGGCCACGGGCATTTTCCTTAAGGTCCAAATAATACCGCCTGTTATCCTTTGTCATCACTTCCGACTTCAATTTGCCATCATCTGGTACGTTCTCAGTGTTTTGTGGACCTAAAGGTACAAATGTTTTAGATAGAATATCCTTGCTTCTGATACTGAGCGATATTTCTACAGTGACAGTATTTGGAACAAAAGCCTCTACATTTTGAGTTTTAACTTTATTAGTAGACCATTGATTGCTTTATTTTTGGAACTTTAAATTTTAAAAAGTTAACTATTGATACGAGCTAATCGTCTTCCAGTATTAAATATTCGGTATCGACATTGAAGTAGCTTATTTGCTTTGAAGGGTTTAGCAAAATTTCAAGCTTAAGATTAAGAGTCACTGTTTATATACCTAAGGATGCATAAAAATCACTAAACGACGAAAGATAGTTCCGAAATTCTGACGCTGTACTGAGCGCCAAGTAAATTTGGCTTCTCCTTCCATCCACAGCAATCTGGAAAAAAAACACAAATACATTAGTTCACTGCACAATCAACTAGATACTTCACTATACAATTCAGCTAGAATTAAATACTACAGCTAACAAAAACAGAACGTTTAAAAGTACCTCTGCTACTTTGATAAACCTCCCACGTCTGTTCTGCTTTACATCGATATAGAATCTTTTGCTCTGAATGTGTAGCATTTTTGACGCCAATTCCTGTTCACCCTGCTGACCCTGCTGGCCTGCAACATATTATAAACATAATTAGTGTGACCTCTCAAGAACAACGCGCCGCGATAAAATCATTATGAGACAATATTTCATACAAACACGCACAGTTAATTAAAACGTATCATAGTATCTTACAATTATACAAAAATTAATGACCCACGGACGCGCTCGCTTTACATAAATTAAAGTCGAGAGAGAGCAAATTCATATTCACGTGCGTTCAAGTCAACGTCAGTCCAATTTAACACCTCCGCCCTTTGAATTAAAACGCAGAAAAGTTTTCGAAATTCTCCAGCCATTTGAAAACCCCCCCCAGAACCTAATCATCGATTCACCCACGATTCAATTTAGATAAATACAACATGTATTGACAGATAACATGGAATACAAAGTTTTCGAGGGATCTGGGCCATTCGATAAATCCCAGGGATCCAGAGAAGCGCGAAAAAATCGAACCACGAAAAAAAGAAGAAAGTTCCAGGACTTGTTCCACGGTTAGAGCAATCGTCATGGCAGTTTCATGGCTGTGGTAGAGGGAGTAGCGAGGGTGGCAAGGGTGGAGGGACAAGGCGAGCAGTCCGGAAAGAGGTCACCCAGTCTTTATTGGGTCATCCTGCTCTCGGTCCTCTTTACCAGATTCCCCGAGGCTGCGTTTCTGGGTCGAAGCTGAGCGAAATTCAATGATTAGGCCGGGGCAAGGTGAACCGTGGGGTGGAGGGTGGTGGTGGTGGGAGCGGGAATCATCGACTCGCCGAGGTTTTTCGCGTTGTAGGAACGCTCGATCCTTAGGGACAATACGAACGGAGTTCGACAAAACAGCGGAGCGATGTTGCTAGTCCTCCTGCCGATCAATAACAGCTGCATCAAGGGTCGATGACCTGTTTGGTACCCCACTACCACAGTGGATATACCTCCACCTACTTCACCGCGTTATCGGACCCGTCTTATCCTTTCCGCCACGAACATCTTCATCTTTTTGTCTAGACCCGGAATTCGATCGAGTCGCCGGCCAGTTTTCGGGGATCAGAGTTCCATTGAACACTGGGCTCCCCGCGTACGCAAGGTCCTCCGGTTGTTCGCTGTCGCGTCCGCGCGACGATTTTTGCTTTATTTACATTCGTTCAAGACTTTCGTGCGAAATGATCATTGTCTGCGATAATTGCGAACTTCGCAACTTTTGCATTCGATCTATTCATTTTCGTTATTTTATAGTCTGATACAGTTAGTAAAAATACTTTCAGCAGCTAAAAATAGATTAATTATTAAGATCAACGAGATTAAAATGTTTCGAAGCAGCTGGAAATGGAATATGGTACATTTTGCGAGAAATAAAATGGAGACATAATTTAGAAATCAACTTCGTTTGCATTTTAAGTTTTTCGGCCAATCAGAAATGGAGGAACGGTCTAAAAATATCGTCTCTGGAAGATCTACAAAAGACGCTAGAGAAGTACATATCTGCATGAGGAGAACATTTACATAGAGTATTCGATAACAGTACGTGTCGCGATGATCATGAATAAAATACCCTCCCAACAGCCTTCGCGAACAGCAAGGAATTCGCGGACTGCCTTTCGGTATCGTGCATAGGGGAGATTCTATTTTTTGTTTTTAGCTCGGAAGGGAAGAGTCTGCTCGGTGTCCCACGCGATTCCCAGGATTTACGAAAAGGGCGGGGTGGTGTAGAGGGTCCCGAAAGCTCGTAAGTCAGAACCTGAAGGATCGATCCCCTGCGCGAGCAGCGCGTCGAACGATCGATCTAACCCGCCGCGGGCAAAACGGCGCTCTTTTCTCTGATTGTTACGTACTGGACTGTTGCAGGCTGCCTGGGATCGCGACAGGGCTGAGGTCGCCCTGGAAGATCCTGCTCTTGAACATTCTGTCTATGCTACGAAAGTTTATGCACCTCCACATTCTTCAGAGCAACCCCATCGTCGCTCTGCCAGCAGCCCCGACCATTTAATCCCCCTCCCCGTTCCCCGGCTCAACGACTATTCCCGATTCTACTATTTCCCTCGGCGACGCTGTACGTGGTGTCTGGTTCTCGGGGGTGGCTCGTTCTGCGCGGAGGCTCGTTAATCCGTGACACATCGTGCATCGTTGCCGCCCCTACTTAAGCCTCCAGCTGGAAATTGGGACAGGGTCGAGAACACTCCATGAAGAAAGAGGCCCTTCGCTTCGCGTCCCGTCAATACCTCGGCACACACCACCACCCTCCTCCGCCCCTCTCGGCGTGCCGCTCCACCTCCTCCCTTTCCTCTCGTAACAGTCTCTCTTTAATCTCCCGGCACCAGCACCGGCGCAAACGATATTCGATTCCCCGAACTCGGTCGAAGGAGTTTCGCATGGTCTCTCGCCTAGGTGTTGCTCCCTTCGTCGCCACCCTTTCCCGGCCGCCCCGGTCCTCGTCCGGCTACTACTACTCTCGTTTCACCTGGAACCGATAGTCCCCCGTCCTCCTGCCCGCTGAACATGGCCAACCTCGACCTGGCCCACTGTCCGGCATTCTCTAAACGCGTCCGACCACCCCTCTCTAGCCGGGCGAACTCTTCTAGGTCACCATTTATAGAAAAGGATCGAGACACGGTGTGTCGTGCCGCGGCGGCACACGCAGCTGGATTAAGTTAAGAGGTTTCCGCCAACACCGCTAATCATTCAGTCCCCTACGTCACCACGAGGTCCAGGTTCTCCCTCCCGGCGACCAATGAACTAGATTCTGGACTTTGCGGTGCTTCGATTGCTCCCGTTTCCGATTCCGTGGACGGGCTCCTAGATAGCAGAGATACGTGTCCTGCGTGCGTGTATCGAGTCCCCTCGGTCCACTCGTCCCGAGATCACCAACAGGCGCCGCGCGTCCCGCCGCTCGCTTCCAGCATCCCCAGGATCGGAGGGTGCTCGACGACGACGTTACCTCACCGGGGCATCTCACTCCTTTCTTCTTCTTATGTAACCCGGCCGGATCTCGCCCATTCTTCTGGACCGTCTACGAGAGCCCGGACATTTTACCGGCCGTTCGCCGGCCTGTCCTCCAGCTCCCGGGTCCCTGGACACATCCCGTGCTCGCGGATTTACGAGGCGGACTCGACGTGGACGTCGACGGCGAGCCACGAAGGGGGCGGGTACATTGATCTCTGCGCCTAGAGCGCGACTCGTGGCGCTGCACCGACCTGCCCCAATACGAACTGCATATTTCCGTTTTCCCGGCCCTCGGTCGGCCCCCGCCGCCCATACCCGATCCCGAGGTTTCCATGAACGGCCGCGTCCGACAACGGCCGCTCTGCCTTCGACGCCTCTGCGCGTCGACGCGGCAACCTTTACCCGCCGCCCTCCCGCCGCCAATGGAGCGCAGCCACCGCCGGCCGAATCTCCTCCGGGGCCTGGATACAAATAATTCAACCAAAGAATACAAGTATTTCGAAAACACTCTCTGTTTCTCTCTCTATATCGTGTCACGTATGCTACGTGATCTCCGCACAGAAATTGATTTCTGTGTTAAATGAAATATTTATTGAACTTCGTTCATTTTAATTGATCTTACAAATATATATTAGAAATATTTGAAATATGTATTTTTTAGAATATAATTTAGGATATATTTGGAAATTATATTCAAACGTAATTCATTGAAATCAATATTTTCAGTATTACGCGTGAGATGAGACGCTCGTGTATCAATTCCATGAAATTTTGCCGACCAAACAGCTGTTACAAGGATAGGTTTTCGTGAACTAACCGACGCCTATTTCAACTCGGCGTGTCACTAGGTAGGATATCTCGAGGACTTAGCCGATATGTACTTCTTTCATCGCCGGTAGATAGGTTGCTTTATAGAGAGATTAGAGATTAGATTATCATTATATAGAGAGAGAGATTAGAATTTAGATGCCTCGTAACTTTTATCAGAGAAAATGTGAAGTCACCTCGATATATCTCTGCGCTTCGAAGCAGAAAATGGAGTAATTGAATTTGACAATTAAATAGACTGGTGTTGCAAGCTTTTGGTCCATTACAATCGTATGCGTGCGAGTGTATCGCGGATGCTAGTGTTTCTTCGTTGGAAGCTGACTCGAAACTGAACCCGATTTTAGCCGCGTTTGGATTCTTTATGTACCCAAAATCTTGTTGTAAACGGTAGTGGGGATGTCCATATGTGCCCCGATTCCAGAAAGTTCGCCATCGTACCCCTTCGAAGGTACATGACTCACAATACACAGAGCTAACGCCGGTGCCAGCCGGCGTAGGCTCCCAGGAAGGAGTAAGAAAAATACGTCGGAAAATTCTCCATACTTTGCACGTGTTTACATCTGAAACACTGTTGAAAGCAAACAGATCTTAAACCTTTATTGCATGAATTTTTATGACAAGTTAAAGAAATATATATTTGGCTCTTGCTGCGCTTAAATAATGCTATGTAAATCAAATAAGCAAACAAAATAAATAAATAAAAACAATATTATTTATAATATTGTTAGTTATTATAAGTTTTTATTACATGTGAAAATTACGAAAATAATTTCCAATTTTGCTTGGCAAACTGTGCAACATTTGAGATTAAATTCCCAATCGGGAACAGAGGGTTAAATGTTACAATGATATTCATTAATTCAAAGAAATAAATGCAAGAAAAAGCTTATTTTTCCAAACAACACGTGTTTGTACGTTTTCTATAGCTTTATATAAATATATACATATATATATTATTATATATTAATATATATTATTAAATATATATATTTATATATATATATTCTTAAGANATAATTTTCTTTGCCGCAACATAAATAACTATTTTCGATACATTTCCTAATCTCTGTCCAATAAATCTTGAAATGTTGTTTCATACAAACAAGAGCATTTTTCACTAACTATTTCCAATAGTTTTTCAAATATTTCTATTATCCAGACCTGATGTATACGAGATCGGACCGGAATCAGGGCCAAACGCACCGCTCAGCAGGGCGTCAGCGCGGAAAACTGGCTGTTCCGAAGGACAGATACTGTCTACTGTCCACCCCACGATGATGATCGATGCGTTTAGAGGACACCGAAACACGCATCTTCGATGCTCCGGCAAGCTTTTGATTGACCTGCTGATGCCAGGCTCGCAGCCCGGGTGATTTAATCGATTGCTCCGCAGTACACGGTCTAGCCCTTGACGAAGATTTTGTTGAACACGGTTTCGATGAGAATTCTCTGCATATTTTAATCGTGGATCTCCCTGTTTGCGTTCTTGGTGACATAAAAATATGCGAAGTTTAAATAAATCCAGTCCAATTGTCATTGTTCCAATGAACTGCGGATTTTACGCGATTATCTTAAAAAATTCACTGGGTAAAGTACCAAACAATGAAGGCATTAAGAATGTTCTTAAAATTTCCTCAATTTATTAGCATTATCCAAAGAGAAGAAGTACATTTTTATTTCACTTCTGTTCCTTATAATTACCATCTAGTCATCAAACGATATTAATCTATTAATTAATATTAATAGATTAGCCCTATTATAATTAGGGCTCGGCGGATCTAGCGTTAATCAGTAGATTACGGATTCGTGTGCGATTATTCCAATTAACAGCGAATTCGTTTGATTTTAGTCGCGCCCAGTGTTTCATAAAATGATCAAGGAAGATCAGGAAACAGCTTGACCGTAACAATGGCGTCGGAAGCAACGGTAGAATGTGCGACGAGCGAATTTTCTGATGCGTTTACGCACCGTCGATGATCGAAGACCAACAGGCTGCGCGCCACGAAAGCGCATCCCGCACATGCATGATTCATGATCGACACGGGCTCGTTGAGTTTTTGTACCGTTAGAAAAGGAGGCAGACGTTTTCTAACAATGCCAGCCAATCTGGGATGCCTCCTTGCACTCCTGTGCAACGTTCACAGCCTACTTATCACACCCGGCTCCATCGCACCGAATGATTCACCCAACTTGATCACCTCAAATTATTCGCAAATTGCACGTTGCGCGAAGCATGCATGATTTTCAGCATGGGGTATAAGCTGCGAATCGCTTTTTTCCTCTGCCATTGTCGCGTACCGATCGAACCGTTTCGAAGTCGTTCTAACATTGACGATTATGCTTCGATCGCGTACGATATCCTTTATTTTCTGCATTTGCATCGTTTTTCGCAACGACACGAGATTTATGAAAATTAAAAAGACAATTTTTAAATTATTCATCAAAATTGTTTGCTCCGGTCATAACTTCCCATGGAAGCGTTTTTTAGAATTTTTAGAATTGTAAAATGAGAAACCGGTCATTTGACTGAGTAGATCGATTAGGCTTACTTGTTTATTTATTTATAAACAAGATGAACCGTTTTGATGTAATGAAATACAGATTTTATATGGGACAATTGTAGAACGCGAGTAGTAACATTACTTCTGAAAGTAGGGGAAGTGGCGTGATTTAGAGATTTGCAAAGTCTGTTTACATGAAGAAATATTCTGCGAAGGCTATATTGAAATGACTATAATCGGATCTATGGAATTCCAGCCACAGGTTTAGTATTAAACGTAAATATATTTTCGGAGGTAGCTATTGAAACGTATCATAAATAGCGTTCACCTAGAGTGCCCANGTTTCAGTTAATAATTTTCTTTGCCGCAACATAAATAACTATTTTCGATACATTTCCTAATCTCTGTCCAATAAATCTTGAAATGTTGTTTCATACAAACAAGAGCATTTTTCACTAACTATTTCCAATAGTTTTTCAAATATTTCTATTATCCAGACCTGATGTATACGAGATCGGACCGGAATCAGGGCCAAACGCACCGCTCAGCAGGGCGTCAGCGCGGAAAACTGGCTGTTCCGAAGGACAGATACTGTCTACTGTCCACCCCACGATGATGATCGATGCGTTTAGAGGACACCGAAACACGCATCTTCGATGCTCCGGCAAGCTTTTGATTGACCTGCTGATGCCAGGCTCGCAGCCCGGGTGATTTAATCGATTGCTCCGCAGTACACGGTCTAGCCCTTGACGAAGATTTTGTTGAACACGGTTTCGATGAGAATTCTCTGCATATTTTAATCGTGGATCTCCCTGTTTGCGTTCTTGGTGACATAAAAATATGCGAAGTTTAAATAAATCCAGTCCAATTGTCATTGTTCCAATGAACTGCGGATTTTACGCGATTATCTTAAAAAATTCACTGGGTAAAGTACCAAACAATGAAGGCATTAAGAATGTTCTTAAAATTTCCTCAATTTATTAGCATTATCCAAAGAGAAGAAGTACATTTTTATTTCACTTCTGTTCCTTATAATTACCATCTAGTCATCAAACGATATTAATCTATTAATTAATATTAATAGATTAGCCCTATTATAATTAGGGCTCGGCGGATCTAGCGTTAATCAGTAGATTACGGATTCGTGTGCGATTATTCCAATTAACAGCGAATTCGTTTGATTTTAGTCGCGCCCAGTGTTTCATAAAATGATCAAGGAAGATCAGGAAACAGCTTGACCGTAACAATGGCGTCGGAAGCAACGGTAGAATGTGCGACGAGCGAATTTTCTGATGCGTTTACGCACCGTCGATGATCGAAGACCAACAGGCTGCGCGCCACGAAAGCGCATCCCGCACATGCATGATTCATGATCGACACGGGCTCGTTGAGTTTTTGTACCGTTAGAAAAGGAGGCAGACGTTTTCTAACAATGCCAGCCAATCTGGGATGCCTCCTTGCACTCCTGTGCAACGTTCACAGCCTACTTATCACACCCGGCTCCATCGCACCGAATGATTCACCCAACTTGATCACCTCAAATTATTCGCAAATTGCACGTTGCGCGAAGCATGCATGATTTTCAGCATGGGGTATAAGCTGCGAATCGCTTTTTTCCTCTGCCATTGTCGCGTACCGATCGAACCGTTTCGAAGTCGTTCTAACATTGACGATTATGCTTCGATCGCGTACGATATCCTTTATTTTCTGCATTTGCATCGTTTTTCGCAACGACACGAGATTTATGAAAATTAAAAAGACAATTTTTAAATTATTCATCAAAATTGTTTGCTCCGGTCATAACTTCCCATGGAAGCGTTTTTTAGAATTTTTAGAATTGTAAAATGAGAAACCGGTCATTTGACTGAGTAGATCGATTAGGCTTACTTGTTTATTTATTTATAAACAAGATGAACCGTTTTGATGTAATGAAATACAGATTTTATATGGGACAATTGTAGAACGCGAGTAGTAACATTACTTCTGAAAGTAGGGGAAGTGGCGTGATTTAGAGATTTGCAAAGTCTGTTTACATGAAGAAATATTCTGCGAAGGCTATATTGAAATGACTATAATCGGATCTATGGAATTCCAGCCACAGGTTTAGTATTAAACGTAAATATATTTTCGGAGGTAGCTATTGAAACGTATCATAAATAGCGTTCACCTAGAGTGCCCAATAATTTAGAGATGTTTGGAAATAATAATGATACAGTTGATTTCGTTTAGTAACACACCAAATACGGAAATGAATTATGTAAACGTTGTTACGAGTTCCACAATATCCTAAGATTTAATCTAATTGTTGACAAAAGAAAGTCATTATGCGGATTCAGATAGAATAAATATCATTTACAGATCCTGTCGAGAAGAAGCAGTAAGAGGACACTGAATTTGTTTAACTGGCAGTAAATGTGACACACAAAGTGATTCATGAAAATATCAGAAGAATTACACGTGGTGAATACGTGAATACTATAGCGTGTGTAATTTGTACTATTCACTCCCAAGGACAGATACTATTGATGTGGCAGGATCTAAGCGGACCTCATGCTGAGCTCCTGCAGGGTGAAGTCTATCTCCATAGTGCTAGATTTAACGCCCCGCCTAGTGGAAACCTAGTAATAACATCTCAATGGCTCTATTATATTGAAATGGAGCTCTGTGATTTACCTAAACAATAGTCCCAAAAGAAATTATTGCGTTATGTTATTTAATCCTTTGCGCTCTACTGGTGACTATGAGATACCGGTAAAAATTGTTATATGACCAAAATAAATTTTACATTATAAAATTTGTACTTAAAACTCTGTTGAAAGTGTATGAATGCGGTATAAGTCACAAGACTCGATTTTATATGCATAAAATAAACTATGTCATATAAAATGGAACTACTGAAGGTAAAAGTAATTATTTTGGATTCAGAGTTAAAATGGTTTCATGTGCAAGGAGTTAGAAGGATTTGATTCATTATTTCAATTGATATTGAAAATTTTTAACTACTGATCAGGAATGTTTGAAACAATTACAATTAACAAGTTCTGGTTAGAGATTTATTACAACCAGTTTTCGAAAGTTTCGACTAATTCGTCGAATTGGCCAAAAAATATCTTCTAAAATAAACTTTTAAAATAGAAGATTAGCTATCGAGCAAACGATTCAGCAAAAAGACTGGAACACTAAAAATTAAGATACAGAAAGTTTGATGATCCTACTTTATTAAATTGTGTTGATGTACAATTGGAAAAAAGAAGTTCCTGAATGATGTGGATAAAAGAAGTTCCAAAGGCCTGATATGTAATTATTTTCTCATAATTTAGAACGACACATACGCGGGAAATAATTTTGAGCCGTGCTTATTTAAGCTAGGTTTTACTCCTTATTGAAACAAGCTTATTACTCTCGCCATTAATCTTGATTGCAAGTAAGATAGTGTGCAACAATGTATACTCGGTATACATTGGTTACAATCAAGGCAATTAACCGTTCAAGGTCATTGCCCTGATTCTCTATCGCAGCAAGACTCTTAAACATCTTCGTTGTGTAATATAATAAACAATTGATAAACAATAAGAACAAAATTTTATCCCGCAACGCAACAATATGTTTACATATTTATTAATTCAATCAAAATATTACGTTTACCATTTTGCCGTTTCTTCATTTGTTGATCGGTACTTCCAAATTAATGCTAAGCCGAATCCAAAAATGTATGAATTCGGTAAATCTCGATATTTTTAGTTATCTAAAAACCATATGTTAATTAATAATACTATTTCCGATGTAAAACAATATTTCAATTTCATACGAAATGATTCGAGTAATTTTCAGCGACAAGTGTCGGTAGTGAACAAGGTCTCCCGATGATTCATGTTGTTATTAGAATAACGTTCCTAGAAGACTAATCTTTTCATTGTGAAATAATAGAAACATGACCTTTGTGGCAGCCATACATCGTTGAACGAAAACTAAACATACGTTTCCGTGTAAACAGACTCAAATATTTGTAAAAAAAAGACCTGTACTACGGTTGTAATCACGGTTGTAACAGCGATGGGGACGGTAACGTTAAAATCAATTTTTTCGCTCTAGCTGACCGCATGCGTAATTAGAAACGTGATTTGCTTATCAGTGTCACTGGATAACAGGAAGCTAGTATCTGCAACGAAAAAGAAATTTGCGGAGTATGTATATCTTTCTCAAAATCTGCGTACCAAATCTGGCTGTATTTCAATACATACAATATAAATAACGAATCTGTCCTGTACCGTCCAAAAATTGTTTGGACGATCTAGTTACAAATTTCCATCGAACGAAATTCCCCATACAAAAGCGCGCGCTCAAATTCGCTGAAAATCCTTCACAGTATCTGCAATTGCAGAAAAGTTTGTCATTTATATTCGAACTGTTCAAACAATCATATAATGACCATAAATTATGAAGTGAAACTCAAAATCTTCGGATGGAGCAAATGTGAGGTTATATTGGATCTGGAGGTTCTGTTTCACAGCATGTTTACGTACAAAAATGAACTATTACAATCTGAAGTTTGCAACAGACATCACGTTCAGATAAAATAACACATAACCTTCAATTTGTCATATTTCGGAAGTCCGAAATACGAAGGCGTCAATGAATTTCCTCGAATTTATCGTTCATTGCTGTGTTAAGGTCGGTAAATTATCTTCGCGAACGTTAATAAATATATTAATATTAGATGCTTGTCAATGTTATATTTTATTAAAAAAAAATTCTGTAATTGTCTCTCTAAAATCACCAAAGTGCTCGTTCTTTTCTCTGGCCAGACTTCGCTGTTTTCATTCCGAGTTGTTAACATTTATCGCCATAAATGAATCATCGAAGAAATATTTCAGTGGCGTGATCACTCGACGCATCGTTCGCTCCCGAGTTCCTAGAACCTTTCTTCCCTATCTCGCCAAAATGCCAACGTTTAAGAAATCGAAATAGCGGTTTATTTCAGTCCTTGCGTCACGCGACCTAACCTAGACCATCCACGCAAAATTCCTAGGGATGTTTTCAGATTGGCCGTTACGATGAATCGTGAATTAGAGCGTGCGCACTATTTCTCATATTCAGAATGCGTCCTTAACCTTAAATTGTCATAGAAGTCTTAAATTCGGCCCTAACGGTCCAAATTTTTGTCCAAACCGATTACGCAAACGACCGACTATAGGCACTGACTGTATTAAGATAGGAACATTCGACTAACCGCGGCACAGCTGTTAAGCTTCGCACTGAACTTCTTAACATTTCTGCATACTTGAAATATATGACATTTGTTACAGTTGAATATGCAGTTATGATAATGCGGTATCAACGTCGGTTCATACTTCTCGCGGAGTGGCATGTTACCAGAATTATTCAGCAGTAGCTACCTTCAGGGCACCAGTGTTGTATTTTTCCCTTCATAGTGTCACCCCATCCGTTTGTCGGCGCTTGTTGCGTGTCTCCTTGCGAGATTTCAATTATTTCACCCATTGCGTCACTTCTGCGAACACTCCGTAGGAACCACACCGAAAATATTCGTTCCTCGCCGCGAACAGACGTTACACTTCCAGCGTGGACTGATTCTCATGAGAACCTCCAGCACATCGTAAGTTCAATGTACTCCCGTAACCGAGAAATCTGACATGTCACTCTATTCCTTCTCCACGGCGATGCGGCGAAAAATATTTCCGACGACGGCCGTGTCCGAATCCCGACGGTATCTCGCGATCAGCCACGAAACGAGACACTCCCGCGTCTGTTCCTGGAGAAACTTAGTCACCGATTTCACTCGCGCCGCCGTGCACCCGATTGATCGCGAGAGCAACTCGTGAGTCAGTCGACCGATCGCGAGCTCGCGCTATCTTCAGAGTGCAACGGACTTCAAGCCGGCTGTGGCTGCTGGTCTTGCCCTCGACGGATTCGAACAGGATCCCTGGACGACGAACGGCACAGAATAATCCCACTGGGAACTTTCACTCCGGTCCAGTTGAACGCGAGAAAAAAGCTGCACGGAGAAATCGCGGCGGCGATGATGTGTCTCGCGCAATCCGAACTGGGTGAACTGTACCCGTCAGCGCAACAGCGGAATCATCGGCCGATGACGCGTCGCGGCTCTCTCAACTAGTGGTGCAGGTCTGGGTCGTTGCTGTTCTCACCGGCGCACGGTGCACATCCCGAGGCGGAGAATGCACCGAACATGTCGTCCGGGACAAGAAATCGAACGCGAGAACGATACCGAAACGACGTCGATGTGTCGTCGAACGCGAAATCGTACACGAATGACGTGCCGGTCATTCATGGAGCCCGCCGTCATGCCGATGGAATGCGTACATCATGGTGGTGAAATTGTCCCGACCAATCGGCGGCCTTCTAGCACCGGCTTCTGCGTCCGCGAGCCACGCGCGCCACGTGACTTCGCAGCCCGACCACGTGACAGCATCGCGGCCCCCCACCATCTCGACCCAGGCTCCACGACATGATCGCATGACGTCACGACCAGCTGACTGCGCTAGTACGGTTCCCTACTCCTCTTCCTCGTCCTGCCACTACCGCTCTCTGCCACATCCAACTCCTGCCGACTTCCATTTTTCGACGAATCCGCTCTAAAACGCACCGAAATTCATGCGACTTCGTGCGCGGTTTCGCGCGCGTCCCCGAGGCGCACCGAGAATAGGCTCGAGACGTGGTTCAAGTCCGACCGCGAAACGGCTTTGAAACCAAAATAAAATGTTCCTCCGGGACCCGTTCGAAAGAAACCGGGCATTTTTACCGAGCCGCAGAAGATGGATACCAGCTTATTTCTGACCACCGCTACCATCCCGTACAGATTTATTTTAGAATACGTTTAGATAACGCCGTCCGTGATGTACTCCACGCTCCGATCAATTTTAGGGAATTTCTTGTTTCCTCCATTGTTACTTCCAGCTTCGAAGAATTTCGATTTTCCAAAATTTGTTGCACATCTTCGCAAGTATCTTTACACCGACGAGATATTCAATCTTTCAAGGTTAAGTTTCTCTCGGAAACTAAAATCGATGAGTGCTCAAGTCACGAATACTACCCGACCGTATGTTAGAAGACGATTATATGTGATTTTTGTTCATTCTAAAGTAAATAGTAACAAGCTGTGTAAAAAGAACTTCGGAAGCACTACGGTGTAATAGATAGTTGAGGAACGTTCGTACTTCCTAGTTACCACTCTAAAGCCATCTCAGTCTTCGGTTCCAAAGGTTAAGGCGAATTTTCGTGAAGTTCGGTAAAAACTATGTTTCAGGGTAAATTTGGAAATGGGATCCATTTCGTAGAGTGAACAAAATGAATTTGTGCACACAAGGTAAACCGCAATGAAAATTTTCATTCAAAATTAACATCTAGCGTACCGATATTTCACTGTGCAGATCAGCCTTTATCTCCGCATTACAATCTATATTGAGATTTATGACCCTGGTCCTTTCGTATCGCTCGATAAATCCGGGGTCAATATTGATGAGTGAAATACTGACCAAAGTGATTATGTAATTTTGCGAAATATTGTCCGATTCGAGTTCGAATTACATGGAATCTGTACCGAACATAAATTCCCAGCTAAACGTACGGTATAAAAGAAATTGCGGGTGAAAAGCTGACGTCGACGAACAAAATTGTCCAAAATGACGATATTTTTTTGTGATCACCCGTTATCCCGTAATCGATTAAGATTAGTTCACAGTTATGTCCTTTCTTTATTTACTCACCAGGATCGAACTCAGTCCCTCCAGCATCCATGCCGCTTGGGTTTCCATATCCTAGAAATGAAAGAAAAGGTTCACGGTCAATAAAAGCGGCGAACAAATTTTATAGCGAAACATCGCTTAAACATTTCATTCGTATGCATTGCAAAAAAAGGGGGATACAGCATAGAGCGTTTACATCACAATAACGTGACCGCTAATAATTCTAACCTAAAATTACCCATGCAAATTCATTCCAAATTAAAGGAATATATCTTACGTACACATGTACATATTATAGCGTTAAACCTGCAGCCTAACCAATTTCCAGACCGTATTACTAAAACAAATGGGACGATCACGTAAATCTGTGTAGCAGTTGCGACATTTTGAAATCCTATGGCCGCGATTAGAAATCTCGAAGCTAGATTCCACGCGAACACCAAAAATGATCGTAAATTGTTAACGAACTTGATATTCGAGTACAAACAAATCCTAATAATAAGATTAGTCGCTAATTTCTGACGATACAAAGAACTGATGCAATTCCTAGACTTCAAGGAATGAAATGACGGCAATATTACGTGCCCGTTGTTAACTTTTGTAGCGGTGTATCATGGAAAGCATTACATAATGTTTTACGTTATCAACGCGATAAAATTAATCGCATAGATTTTTCTGTGTTAATCTCGCGAAGTATATCTCCGATCTCAACAAGTATACATGTGCATCCGATAAGTACACGAATGCCGATCGATCATCCACCGCGGTGAATCTATGTATTCCGTGATCGATGATTATTCGTGCTACGTTTTCCGCTTACAATTTTTACACATCGGAAAAAGGATAATCGTGTCCGGTAATATCGATCGAACGTTTTTAAATGATAAATTGAATTACTTCCTAAATCGTTGCTAGATACATGTCGTGACCGTTTTGTTTCGAGGCCAAGATCCACCAGCTTCTGGGGTGGGGATCGCCTATGGCACGTGTGAAATTTACGCGCATCGTAGCCAGACGGTACCTTCGTTTTGTATATGCTGCTATACGCCTATCGGCGTATTAGTGCGGGTTTTCCGTAACTGTGTACGCCGTGCGTGTGCGCTAGATAGAGGTGGATCGGCAGGTTACATCACGCGTGTTCATTTGGGACTATTCCGGTTGTCTCGGAGAGCGCGGTCAGGGTGTCTGTCACACGGAAACTGACAACAGTGAGAACGGTTCCCAGAGGCCGCGACTTTCAAAAGGAACACCTGGGACAGAACCGGCATCGGCGGACTGCTCGGCGGCGTATCGGCGAGCTGCGAATGTTCGGCTTGCTGGGGCCGGAGATGAGAGAGAGAAAAAAAAAAAGCCGTCGGCAGAGGGGAGAGGAGTGGAGAGATGAACAGTAACGGAGGGAGAGAAAAACTTAAAAAGCACGAAGCAGAAAAAAAGCGAACAAGCATGTACGGGAGGAAGAGAGAGAGAGAAAACAAGCGAAACCGAGAAAGAGAGAGAGAGAGAGAGATAGATAGAGAAAAACCGAGTACGAAGCGCGTGGTAAAGAGGGAGCCAGAGGGAAAGAGCGAGAGAGCGAGAGAGAGCATGTGTGAAAGAGACGGGGCAAGCGAGAGGGAGAAAGAGATAGAGTAAGACGAAGGAGGAAAGAGGACAGGGTTTGTCTCTCGGCCGATACGCAGCCGGCCATCTTGGATCCTGGGTATCGTTGAAAAATAGCAATTCTTTTCGGCGGTTGACAGAACGCCACGAGGGTCGAAAGGAACGATCGGGCGTGTGCGAGCCCGCGGTGCTTGCGAACTGTGCGAGGGGAGAAACGGCGCGGGTCGACCGCGCCGGAGGTCGTCGCGTTTGCTCATGGAAAAGACGGTCCTGGTAACCGGAGGCGCAACACACGGTTCCACGGCTACGGAAAGATGTCGGGTCGCGCTCGTTTGCGACACATATCGGGGACCGCGTACGAACGAGTATGGGTCGGGCAGTTGGGCATGCAGAGCCGAACGATCTCCTGATCCTTACTTTGCGGTTGATCGTCCAGACTTTCCCGGTCAGACATTGCTCTTAACGCGGTCTCTTTCTTCGGTTCCACGCGTCGTCCCTCGACGTCTCGGCAACAGGCCCGACGACCAAAAATCCCCGGCACTGTCCGTGGCGCGACCCCGATATATCACCACTAACCAGCCAGCTCACCAACCCAGCACACCACTTGCGAATTTTTCACTTCTTCACACACCACGGTCCGACCGCCGACCGACCGTCCGTCCACGGCACCAGTCGTCACCACCACCACCACACGCTCGCTCGCTCTACACCGTTCCACGCTCGCTGGCCCGACTCGCGCTCGCCCTCGCTCACTCGCTCGCTCGCTCGCTCGCTCGCTTCTTCGTCTTTCACTCTCGCTCTACCACCAATCCCTGCTCGCGATACGAGAAAGCGAGATACCGCTATACTTACTCTACGCGAACGCACACACTCCTGACCTTTCGTCGTGTGATCTGCCCGTAGCCATCTATATAAGACTGCCTCATAGCCACGACACGATCCGCTCGCTCTGTCTCATTCCTTTCGATGTCGTCTGTCCTTCTCCCTCTCTATCGCACACGTTCGCTCATTTTAGCGGTTCCTATGGTTTCGTCTCTTTCTGGCCGACTAGCAAACTCATTTTCCTGTCGGTTGGTGGCGCCACTATGTGCCCGGTTGTATATCGTTTTGTATCGTATCGTATCGTATCGTATCGTATCGAATCGAAGCAAATCGAATTACGTACCGCGATAGCCATCTTGCATTCGACTTGGTTCGAGAGATATCGAAGTCGTTTCTACGACCTGAAAGCGAGTTGAAATTTCAAATGGGAATATGAAATGCTGATTCGAATAGCGAATTCTTCGACGATTTTACACAGAATGGCGTCTAAATGGATTATAGAATTATTGATTTAGCCACTTAGGATAGTAGAGAAAGTATTTGTATATCTAATCGCTATGGAATATTTTTTTATGAATATTTTGTACTGTATAAGAGAAATAATAATGTTTCTCATTTTATCCTAGTGTACTTTATGTAACGTTTAACTATATATTATCGCCAATGTCTTATTGATTAAGTGTTGATTACTTTAAATAGACGGTACACGTTTCATATCGTTTTAAATAAAATAGAATTTTCAAAACATTTTAATTACTTGATGAAACATTCGTTAAGAAAGGAGTAGGTATATTGGACGAGGTAAGTAATACTGAAACTTGGATATTGTATATTTTTTCAAGTGTATTATTCATAGTTCATATACGTTCTTATAATAATTATTTCGGTAGAGAATTAATGATGCTGCGAATTAATTGAAACCTTTTATTCATATTTTTTAAGCAAAAACACAACAAAATTCAAGTACACTTATTCCTTACACGTTTACTTTTTAATTCAACTAAAATATAATTATACGATAATATATGACTTGTGTAAGATGCAATGTTAATGTCTACATGCTTATGAATGTATGCACGTCAGTTGTAAATACTTGATGACCATGTTAATTGATGTATGAAAAAATCAATGTATTCATTTTTTGCCCCGATAGCCTTTGTTCTCTCATCGAGATGAATGCTTTGAAATGGTTACAAAAATGGCAGCCGCGGAATAAGGCACACAATTGATGCAACGCGCATTTAATATAGCGATATATTTATCTTTAATGTAGTTCGGATGTCAATGAATTTCTAGAAGTATATGAATCGTCCTGTGTAATTGTGTTTACGTGTATGATGCCTAGGGAATCTAAAGCTTCGCAGGAACGATTGTGCTTACATCGCTGTTGTGATAATAGTTTTTTTTTTATAATTACCGCTATCATCATTAACATTATCATTATTATTAATATTATTAATTATAATTATACTTGATGTTACTAATGCTTGGATGATCAGTAGTTTTGTATATACAGGTATCTTTGAGGTATGTTTCGCACCTTATGATATGGGGTTATATATATATATGTACATATGTAAGTTTGTTTATTTTATATATATGTACACATATATATATATGTACATATATGATTTTCACGAACCACGTCTATCGATCAACTTACATAATATGCATCCTGAGATATTCAATCTACTTGATACAACTCAACTAAAGCGTGAACTATGTTGTAACAAGTGCAACTTGTACATTATAATGTGTATGCGTGAGATGTGTTTCCCTATTCCTGACTGCAACATCTATTACAAAACAACATGCTCGTCTTTTACTCGCTTAACAAAAACCAGTAATCATAATTGAAATTTCTTTGAAAGCTTTATCTATATACAATCTTATTTCAGCTCTGTAACAGCTATAGATATTAGTTACATAAACCACTGCATTACCAATTCATTTTCTGTTTAACGACTACTCTGCACCTAGTCAAAGATCCTATTGCATCTGTGAATACGACCATCGTAATGTTTACTGTATCTTTAAACATAGTTTTGGATCGTTTAATCGATCACTAAATATCTGTCAGTGTGTTATTCATTTCTTTCTCGTACAGAATTATATCATTCTTTCTTCAAACGAACAACGCACACTATTACAGATTACAATCTTTTATGTGCTTTTTAAAACTTACTACGAGCAGTCGAAACTTTCCTAAATGAAAGGCTATCTAACGTGGTGCGTGGAAAAACGCTAGGTGTTCTCTTCGTGCTTTTTAAAATTTACGTTCTAGAGTAAGTTTTGTAAAAAATATCCCTTAATCACTTTGATGTAGGATTACTTTGTGTGGTGCCTATAAAATACAGCGAGACCAACAGAAGAGCAACAGTGTGGTATGAGGCAGTTTTGTATGATTCGGTGATGTCTCATTCATCGAATTTCAGACCTCACTATCCATTATACATAATAAGTTCCAAGAAACGATTGATTTCTTTGTTGTCGTTAAGCTCGATTGCTTTGAAAAAAAACTCGCATACTCGTATAATGAAAACGAAGAATAAACCAAAAGGAAAAGAAAGTATCGAAACAAGAATATGTGCACCAAGTGTTACATCGTTGACAATAATGTCAAAAAATATCGTATATATATATATATATAAATATATATATATGCCTCCATGCATACAATTAATTTACCAAAAGTCTCCTTTGACACACGATTCGCGAGCGACCCCTTAAAAGCTATTTACAAAAATGAATAGCAACACACGTAGGCTTCTGCTGTATCAACCGTTGTCTTTGAGCATGCCCCTAAATACCATTGAACATCTCTACCACCCACAGGGTTGTTTCTCAGACATTCTTTAATGCAATGAAGAACATAAAAAATGAACGTGTATGGCGTGTATGTCCATCAATATACCAGCAGCAAAAGGAGTACAACGTCAGAGGCATACGTTGCTCAGAAAAGGACGGCCTTGACATCAGTATTTTACCGGGGACCGGTGTGTCCCTGTGGTGAAGTACTCGTGACGAACCTCATTGAATGTTACAACAAACCGCTTTGCATGGTATAGGGCCCTCGCCCTCCTGTCCATACAACGTTCGTGATTTAAAAATCTTAGAATCAATGATCAAGAACGAAGACTTCCCGGTGTAACAGCTCTCGTACGCCTCGAAAGCTTCCTCGATGGGTATGTTACTCGCGTCGTTTTTCCTTTCCATCGTAGTCCCCGCCCTTGAGTCATCCGAACGATTTGGCACTGAATCTACGGTTACTTTGGAGCTTAGATCCTCTTCTATACTAGCACTCTCCCGTGCCAATCTGTAGTACTTCTGCACGTAGTCCACATTGACTTTAAGGTCGGTGTTGTCCTCCTCGCCAGCCTCGCCCTCGCAAGATACACCTCGACATTGCATAATCTTCTTTGGGGTTATCACAGGTTCAATCGTCTCAGCCTCCCAGCATTCTAGGACATCAAGCTCTTCTATACTATCCAGGGATAATATTCCACTAGCGTTCTCTTCCTCGACACTGTTGCTTCTGTTCTCTTTGCTCCTAGCTGCCTCTTTGGTGGTTGTATCACTTTTGGTCACAGGCATGACCGCAGTAGCGTTGTTATTCCATAGCGTCTCGTAGCCGGAAGTCGTCAACAACTTGCCGTCCTCGGACACTACTATCTCACCCTTCTCGAACGTTTTCACGTTCACAGTGTCCTCGTTCGTTTCCTTCTCATTATTGTCGTTCTCGTTATCCGCGTGCTTAATCTTCTCGTTATTATTCACAGGATCCCTGTTCGACCTCCCACCCTGTCTTTTCGTTCGCCTTGCATTGACCCTCTTGGAGTCTATCCGAGAGTTTGACGCAACCCTCATACCTGCAACGCTATCCTCCTCAGTAAATTCGCAAATATCACCAACATCTTTCGCCAGAGTTTTCTTTCTGACCGAGTCGTCCCGTTGGCCGCACGAGTCCGACGATGACACCACCTCATCCAGCTTGCCGTCGACATGCCTGACCCGTCTACGTTCTCCCGACCGTTTCTTACTCTCTTTCTTTTTCCTTGACCCGCCATTGGTACCATCCGGCTGGTCCAAGTTCTTGACGTTGTTACCCGACCTTGCGAATTCACCGTAGTTAGTCGCGCGCGACAACCCTAGATTGTCTGCGCGATTATTAGCAGATAGTGCAGGCATGGGGTTGCCTTGCAAGTTTTTTGGCGGCTCTTCCACCTTCTCCTCATCCTCCGACTCGCTGTCCGAAATGGTCGACGTAATGAACACGTCCGGCGAGTTCACTCTACGAAGCCACTGGGTCACCGCTTCCGTGATAGGGTACTCGGAGTGTCTCGTTTGGCTTTCAAACCCTGAATCCTCGTTGCAAACTTCAATCGGGTCCTCGTTGTTCAAATGATTGCACACAGTATCGAACATGCAATTGCTGGGCAATTCGTTCTCGGTTTTCTCGCGTTCGAATGTCGAATCCTCTTTCGTATAATCGTTCGGGCTTACATTATTCAGACTCTGCGTTGCGTCGTTCGCCTTCTCCGGCTCCGCTTCCGCGGCGTCGTTCAGATCCGGTCCGGGGGTCGACTCCCTCGTGAACTTTGCACCTTTCACGCTGTACTTTCTCTTTGGTAACGATGACTTAGCGTTGGTCAACGATTCGTGGTTCTCCCCGTTCTCGGTGTTCTCCACGGAGACAGTCTTTGGTGTGCCTGATCTGGAACGTGTTCGTTCATCGTTGTGCAACGACGTCGTCTTCGATGTCAAGGCCGCGTCCTCGTTGTTCGACTCGAACTCCAGGTCCCCGTTCATCAAGGCGACCTCCTCTTTGACGCCGTTCATCTCCTCGCGGTCGTTGCCGTTCGACGCATCATTCGGCGCGTTGTTCATGCTGTTGCTAGATGATAGAACCTCGATGGTAACCTCGGTGTTCACAGGTGCCTCCTCTTTGCCAGCCAGGCAGTTCATCAGTCTCTTAGCTTCGTCGTTTTGCTCCTCCAGCGGTGTCGACCGAGCCTTCGGCAACCTGACCACCTGGATAGAGTTCTCGCTAATGGTCTCGTCCTCGCCGTTCTGCGAGTCGCCGGCGATACCGTTGCACGACTCGTTCGCCTTGTCAACGGGCACGGTCTCCGACGACAACGTGCTCATCGGCTGGTTCGTCGCCGAGCCCTCCGCCGAGATTGGCGTGTCGCCGGAAGTTGGAATTGCGGAGACCGGTGTACCGTTTAACTCGACGACCGACCGCAGCTGGAACTCCTTGCATTCGGGATTCAGCGTTCGCGTGCTGGTCGTCGTCGTTGTTGTTGTTGTCGTCGTCGTCGATGTTGAACAGTCTGTCCAAGGTAGTCGGGAAGACGATAGACCAGTATCACATTCCGAGCTGTACTCTCCTTCCTCCTCGTCTTCCGTGTTACCCTAGAGGTCGAAGAAAATATTATATTAATCATGTGACTTAATGTTTTGATGAATTTATACAGTGAGCTCATACTCTCCTTATGAACTCGCATCGAGATCAATACCTGATCATTTATGTGTTACCTACAAATGTCTTTGTGAGAGACAAAATCTAAGACTATAAAATACCAATTTCTAGCCGTCAGATGTCTGGAATTCGCCTAGGTCAATCCAAGCCCGGTTTGAAAAAGAGTATATTAGTAATTTGTAGAAGCAAAGAAGAAAACTAGATACATACATTGTATCTTCTGAAAGAAGTAGGATTACTGGATTAGCTTAAATCTTCTGATGAACCCCCAGCAATGTGTGAAAATACAAAATGTAATGTATATGTATAACAAAAAAGCGCTAAGAGATAGCCTGAGACTACTTCCATGAAGTTGTAGCAAATTTGAGAGTGTACCTCAGAGAAGATCTGCAAAGAATGTTTTCCTACGGAGCACATGAGAACCAGACCCCCCAGGTTTATAAACTAGTGAATGTAACATGTAAGAGATACTGTGAGTAAAATGAGAGCCATAGTGAAGACAATAAAGAAATACCATGCGTGTCAAGTTCGAAGAATCGCTTAGTATATAGAAGATCTTCAGTTTCTGAGCAACTATTTTTCATCGCGATGCTGAATTAAGGATCCTCTAAAGGAGAACGCTGACCTCCGCGTTTTGAATCTGACAAAGACAAATCCGTTAAGTTGACTATATTGCAATAGATCACCCGGAAGATATCCGACCGTTGACCCCTGAGACACGTCGGGTGGTCGCCGTTCAACTCGTAGAACTGAACTCTGATATTTACCGCAGCAAGTCTCTGCTTTCTTCTCTTTTTCTTCTTCCTTCGTTTGGCACAGGCCGCCGACATAACTGCCACGTTCGTGGTTCTGATCATGGGCCCTCCCTGTATGGTAACACCTTGGACAGTAGAAATACTTTGCGTTACATCTCCAGGCGAAATCGTGCGTACCGGTTTGGTGAACAGTGACGACTAAAAATAGGGTGCCTCCGGATACCCGACCAGGTACCACCGGGTCGACCTCGGAAACGGTAACGAGTATGGCAGCGTCGAAGGGCGCCTAGACTGAACTTGGCTTTTTCAGGCTTACACCTCTATTAGTTGGAGAACAGCTCGGACAGCGGTGGTGCTATTTCGAACCGGTTCTATTTGGAGACACGGTGCTCTGCCAAATTCACTCTCGACGCCCATCGGCACCGGCCGGAACATATCTCTAACATTAAATGTCGATGGAGCAGCAGCGTCCTCGTGATCGTTATGAGTCAATGTACCTCTAGGTGAAACGCCTTTTTTTTCCTGTGCAACGTGCGAGCCGTGCTGCTGTGGAGAGTTACGTCGAGATAACATAGATTGGAATTATGGTGAGAAATGATTCAGATATTAGACGTATGCAGACACATACATCGAGCGTGTATAGACTCTTGACTTTAGCTACGATCGTTGGATCATCGGACCATAAATATCAATCCACTATGGTTTTCATGTATTTTTGGAAAGAAGACTTTCTTGCCTCGTTTCAGTTTTCTTTTTTTTTGAACTTGATCCTTCAAATGAGTACATGAACTTATGCATTGTTTCATTATAAAATTAAGACAGGCATTGTGAGGCTTCTTCTAAAAACTAGATCATAATAGCTGTTTATCTTGCTTCACAATATGTTGATTATAAGAACAGGGTGGACAGCTGTTATGATTGTTACTGTAGTTTAAATTTCTGCATGGGAAAGGAGACCATAACGAATAGCATTACTGCTTTAGTATAAACTATTTGCTACATAAAATAAATGCTGCACTTCCTTACTTCCTATCCTATAAAGTTCCATAAACCATTTGCTAGATATGACAAATTAAGCACTTTCTAGGATATAGCAAGGATATTACACTTATTTGGACATTTCCTTTCAAGTCAATAAACCCAGTTAAGGGTTGAACATTATACTTTCTTCAATCTCACCCCAATGTAGTATCCAGAATAGGAAAAATTATTTTCTTAAGTGCTCTTTAGTCTTCACCACAACGAATACTAACCCACGAAATATAGAATTCCTTTTTCAATACATTGTGTCTCATAGCTATAAAACCATCCACAAACAATTTGAATTTTTATACATAGGAGTTAATACAATAATGAATGAAGATTATGTCTACTCTGAAATAAAAAAAAAAGTAACGAACCAGTGATTCGATAGTGTTTCACAACTATAGAACTAAGCCTGTAAAAGTCGTTTTTCCTGTATAGATCGTCAGTTTTACTTTACATAGTCTGACTGGAAGTATGCAAAAACCAATAATTGAACTCATCGAAATTAGGGGTGAACCCACGCATTACAAAGTTAACATTATATTATTATATTAATATTATATATTAATATTATTCTGTTCGTTCTTTTTTACAGAATAAAGTTTATCCCTTCTTAAAAAACATCGTTCTTCAGTGCAATCTCAAATATGGCACACTTCATTCATTATTATTACATTAGCTACAACGTATAAAAACCGAAATCTTTTAAGCATTAATTATGAGATGCAGAGCGTAGTAAGATAAAATAGTGGACAGTGCTGTCCCTTTCATTCATAAATGTACACTAAATCGCAGCCACGAGTCGACGCTTGGGCACTCCCCGCATGTCCCTGCCAGTGAACCAGAAATGGTTCAAAGTGGCTTGTATCAATGGTCCCGGTCCTCCCGCGATCGTGTCTAAAGCGAGGCGCGTCTCTTTGAATTATTACCTTTTACCTTGCATGTGGTAGAGGCACGTCGGTAATAAAACAGCAATGATGCCGATGGACGGGACAGCAGTCGTGAATCTGGGCAAATCCCTTTCCCCTGGCCGCGCATCCGACCGACACTGTTCTCGTTTAACATTAGAAACAGGTACAATCAAACGTACTAACTGCTAAACTGACGGCAGTGCAGCGGGGAAGGAGCATTAGACGCATCCAAGGCTCGCAGTACATCATCCGCTACTTTGTGAGTCTTTCGTCCTCCGTTAAATATAACTTCTTGGCGGCCGACGCGGGTTCTCACGTACCCGCGAATTAAATTATACGTTACGTAACCCCCCGAGAGTACTTCCGACATTTCTTAAACATTTGGGCGCTTATCAATCAACCGGATTGTCTCGTCTCTCGCCAGGACTTTGATACTCGTCGGTCAACGATGCCGCTCGTCTCTAATTAATTACTTTGTTATTCCGCGTTGCCGTTGCAACGTTGTATTCTTCTCCGATCGCACAATAATAATCTCTGTTGTCGCATCGCTTGGAAGGCCATGCGACTCTGTTTTGCTACATATACTTATTATCTCAGTATAACAATTTCTTGAATGAAACCGCTTCCTTAGAAAGAGTACTACAAAGGACAGTGATTCGAGCCAGAGATCAATGCGAGTGGTAGCAAAAACTAGAAGTTAAGAAGGATCAGCCGCCATTAAGAAGGATCACGCATAATATTCCTGAAGGGTCGCACCGTAGCCTGGTCGGCTGGCAAGCGTCGCGGGACGTTCTAGATCAATATACGCAATTCGTCAGGCGTTCGATGAGCGCGTGAAGGCGCAGGTCACCGAAAACGCATCGATACGGCCTGGAGTCTGCGATCCAAAATGGATCGCAGGCTCCGGCAGGTCGGGTCGCCGGCATCGACCGCAAAGAGTGGCGGATTGCGCAACGTTGCGATGCACTGCTCCCTCCCCGTGGTTCGCTTTTGCGCAGATTCTCTTAGCCGCAAGAAAAGAACCTTCGCTTTGTCCGTCCGTTGTTCCGTCCATCTGTCCGTGAACAGAACGAAAGCTACGGGAGGAGAGCCGGAGACACAAGGTCCCTCTCTCCCTCTCTCTCTTAGGGTAGTCGAGAGGAGATAGCCCCATGGGGGCAAGACAGAAAGGGCGGAGAAGAAGATAAAAAAAAGGTAACTGTCGAGGATTTTCACGGTGCCCGCTACGGTTTCAATCAACTAACCATTCACGTTGACCAAGGGCGGGCCGAACATGTAGTGGCCCGGGTACATGTACGGTTGCGGCACCGCCGGTATCACGTGCGACACGTGCACCGGCTGCTGCATCAGCACCGGCTTCAAGTACGGCCCGTCGACCATCCCGTTCACCATGCATTGATCTTCCACGTATTGCTCGTCCATGTACAACTCCTCCACCTGTTCCTCCGCCTGGAGATCACTGTCCGTCTGGTTCTCCTTGGAGGCGGCAGCCTCGGCCGGCTGCTCGTCGCCTTCGCCGACCACGCTTCCGCTGCAGCTGGCGCTTCCGGTACCGGTACCGCTCTCGTTGCACGTGCCGTTCGTGTTCTCCACGGGCACCTCGCTCGTTTCGTGCTCCTCTCGCACCATGGCCGCGCTCTCCGCGCCCGTCTGCAACTTTCCAGCACATATTTGTTAGCAACTATCCGTCGGACTAGCTTTCAACGCACCTGCAAAGAAACGACTTTTAGAAATAGTTTCAACTGGAAGCACCGGAGGGTCTGCGTTCTCAAACGAACCACTTATGCGGGAAGCGCATACGTTGCACTAGATTCTAAGAATTTTCTCGTTGGAAAATGTTAACAAATTGTCGACGAATGAACAGTCGAAACGATTTGTTGCCACGCGAGAGTTGAACAGAAGCCGCGAAGGGGTTCTCCGGTTTCTATTTTTAGGAGTAATTATGGCAACACCCCGGTAGATCGCTTTAATTCGCCTTCATTGACGGCGCTATTTTTGTAGTTTGATAGCCTTCTAATATCGTGGCCGACGCGCCGTGTACACCGCGGATCAGTGAACCGGAAAGGCTTAAAGCAGAGCGTGCATGATAAGCGAATCTTTGCTTGGAGATCCATCGATTCGATGCGCGAGCTCGCTGGCATAAATTGGCGAATTTTGCTGCTCACCTGGTAGTTCATCATGCAGTACGGCTGATCGGCCAATTTGTGCACGAACGCGGGATTGATCCATTCGATCGGCCTCAGGGGCACCGGCTCGCAGGGCACGGCTGCTAGGACACTCGGCCCGACCGGCGCTGGTACCGGCGCAGGACCGAACAACATCACCGGGTACTCGTAATAGTAACCGCTCGCGTGGTCGTAAAACGTCCCGTAGCCTAATTGCGCCCTGGGCTCCACCACCGGCGGATTCTCACCGTTTCCGCAGTCCCTGTCCAATAGCTGCTGGTCCTCGGTCGTTTCGCTGCCGTCTGCGTCAACCAAGAAGCAGAAAATGTACCAAGATCTCGGCCGACTTCGTCCCGAGAACGTTATTCACATGCCACGGTGACTCCAGGCTTATGCTGTGTATGCGGCAATTTCGTTGATTAGTCGACGAGACGAAATTCACACACGATTATATTTATTTCGAACGATTCTAAGGGTTGATTTCTTCTGAGATTTTGCGATGTTTATTTGGCACGAGTTTTCTGTTATCGACTGTACTAATTAATCGTTTAACACGTTCCGTGCCGAGCTTTTTTTACTCGAATCTTCACACTTTGATATTTTACTAAAACTTGATGTATCACGTGCAATTATTAATTCTCGTACACATAACAACGTAACAAAAACTTATCAACGCCCATTCTTGCGGTGGAAATTGATTCTTCGGTTCTAAATTTCTTGTAAACAATTTGTTCAGTTCACTAAGTAAACATGCAAGCGTGTACCATCGATGGTACACGTGGCACGGAACGTGTTAAGTATCGTCCAGTACTTCGTATGGTCACATGATTGAAGTATAACGACGAGGAAGTCAATGTCTTTGGCCATCGTGCGTATGACAATGTTTTAAGTATATATTTTCGATTTTTGAAATTATTTTTGAAGGCGTTTTCTTTGGAATCATTGTTTGCCTTTGATTTAGATTGTAATTGGTAGTAATTGAGTTGCTGAATGATGACCGTAACATGGTCGTTGTCATTAGAATTATTACAACGTAAACACATAATTGTCATTATGGTTTGTCTATACAGGGTGTCCCAGGTTTTAATGTTCAAACTTTGTCAGTATACTTATAGGAACCCCGTCGAGTGTTATAAAAACGCGTGGACTTTTAGAAGAGTGATCGATGGCCAAACTTTCGCTAATAAGTGACCTTAAAACGTGCTGTACGCGAAACAAATGGATCTCTGTTCCACAGAGCTCTTTTATGCGACCATAAATAACAGAGATGCTCGGGTGTCCTCGTTTAAAGGAACACGAATGGGGCATAACGGGATCAAAATGGTACCCGCATGATTCCCCTTATTTTAGTTCACAAATTAATGGAACTTCTGCTGAAAAATTCACAGTCCTTCCTATTCCGATTTTGGGAAACCGGATTCGCTTCATTGTACCGTAGCTGGATTTTGTTAGTTCGCTGAAATCTTAATGGAGAAGTTCATAAATTGTCTTTCAACGGATTCGAATCCGGTTGAATTTTTCCAAATCTTTCTATGAGGGAGAGAGAGTGTGTGTAAAAGAGTACATAATAGGAGAATACTTATTTATAGAAGAATATTAAACGAGACATACGTTTAGTCGAAGCTCACGACGATTATAAAAGACGAGGGAATGATTTCTCGTTAAGGATTCTGCTCGAACAATGAACAGTTTGAGACAAGCATGTGGGTCAGAAGGGACCCGTTCCTTTCTCTGTGGCGATCCGAGCCCCATGCCTAAGGATTCAGCCAGGCGATGGCGACATAAAATCTGCAAGAGCACACTGTCTCCTCGAACCACGTAATATCGCAGTTAGTATCGTCCCTTCAAAGTTCCATAAATGGTTTGCAACGTGTAGCTTGCAAGGCTGCAAGGTACAATTGCCCATCAGAAGTGAGATATTCGTATAAATTGTAACAAATACGTGGAAGAAGCGTGTCGAAGCAATCGGGTCACATTTTCATTCATTTCTCTTCGACTCGTATTTTTATTATATTTATTATATTTTGATTTGTCCGAGGTCTTCGCTATTCCTTTAAAAATTCGTCGCTTCTCATGCGCCAACTTGACAGATCTTTCTTCGCGGAAATCTTCCGGGAAGAGACCAGCGTGCAGTTGCAAGGTCGTGGAAGATCAAGAGAAGGGTGACAAAAGGGAGAGAAACTCGATGAAATACGTTGCGCGTCTACCTATACCTCTACCTGCGGTGGAATGCGAAGCAGATTGGCTCTCGGTGGTCGATGGTGTCGCGCTCGTGCTGGCGTTCCCTGCCCAGAGCTTCTTCTTCGAGAAGTAGCCCTTTTTGAACAGCATGTCCTGCCGGGGCGTGGCGATCCGCATGTACTCGTCCTCGTTGAAGTTTGTCTTCGGCTGCGACGGCGACCCTGCTGACTCGTCTCTGTGGGAACGTGATCCGGCGCCATTGTATCCGTTGGTGCCGCCGTTCGCATTTCTCCAGGGTTTGTAGCCGTCCTGCCTGTGACGATCGAAATTGTGCGAACTCCTTAATCCTTCCTCTTCGTCCTCCTCGCCCGGCGGATCTGTTAACAGAGTCGCAGATTTTTATCAGATTATTGCGGATTCTTATTCGGCTCGGCGGTCTTTATGCATCTACGACACTTACAGTTTTTTTAGACTTTTATTTTTATAGCCTGTCTTTGGTATCAAGGGTTTCCTAATTGGTAGTTCGAATTTGATTGTTATTTTAGGCTTTGTGAAACGACTGATGATTACAGTGAATTCTCTCTAATTTATGCTCTGATTATTTTATGATGTATTATATAATATATTATAATATGATATTATAATAATCATTATAATTATAATATATTAATAATATTATATAATTATAATATAATATATATTATAGTATAATATGATGTTATTAGAATATTCAAAATAATATAATATTATAATCGTTATTGCATTATTGTTATTATATAATATTATTATAATACAATAATTAGCAACATATAGCTACCGATTGACAACAACTATAAAAACGAGCTCGAATAATCGTATCCCAAACTATCCATTTTTGTGTAGAACCTATGCATCAATTAGGGAGAATTTACTGTACCAGAATTTAAAAGAATTTTGTGATTCTATAAAAGAAACGGATGAAATAAAACAGCAAAATTATTCGAAGAATATAGCCATGAGGATTGTCAATTTATTAACATTGTTTAGAGAATTAATCAGACAGAATATTTTTATTTTACATCAAGATTCACAGTTTAACTATAACGGTTGGAGAAATGTTACAGAAGGATTGAGAATGATTAAGAAAAATATTGTTGAACAGAAATAAAATTAAACAGGATCTAGACTTTTCTCGAAAATTATTAACTGGCATAACGAGGTGTGAATACACTTTTAATTGTAATTAATTGAAGACATTTTAAAGTTTGACAAGCTTGTCTCGGTAGTTAATAGTGAATTTTTAATTAGTAATTTATTTTTTAATTAATGCTTTATTCGCGTATGTAAGCCTTTAATGATAATTAAAATGTTAGAGTATAATTGTTGCAAGAAACGTTCGATAGAATTCGCCGAGTGTAGTCGAACAATAGCGACAGGAATCCCATTTGCATTCATTCAAGATCTTCGTCAAACTTCTCAGCTCGTCGAGATTGAGTTAGTACTGGAAAGGATCTAACGAGCTCGCATATTAACTTCGTAACTGTCGGGACAAATTTTCACCTGCGAATACATCCTTGTCTCTAAGAGTACCGAGTCTGACAACGAAACTGATCGAAATTATTTCCTGACATTGTTAACCCTGCTGGGTTCCTCAATTTTTGCTGTGCGTTTGCAGGAACGATGAAAACGTATAGCAGTAACTAATTCCTCGTACGTTACCTATAAAACCATTTAATAAAACCGAATTTTTTTTTGGAATTACAAAATTTTCTTTGGAATTACAAAAACAACCAGAATGACTTGTTTGAAACCTTTCGAAGAGTTATCATGAAGGGTTATAGGGAAAGGCTTAAACCGTAAGACTGAAAGAATGGTTCGAAACAGCGGTTTGAAGACGAGCGTGGAAGCAAAGGATTAAAATGAAGTGTACAAACAAAAGGCCAAAGCGAAGGGTGGTCGTAACTAAAGGTGAACGCGCCGAGTGAATGCAAGTGGCTGAAGCGAACGCTTGAAGACGAGTATTAAAGCGAAGAAATAAAGCAAAGGATTAAAGCAAACGGTGAAAGCAAAGGGTTAAAGCAAGCGATTCAAGCAAAGGGTAAAACTAAATGATTGAAGCATTATAATTAAGGCGAAGGGCTTCAGCAAAGGATAGAAACAAAGAATTGAAGTAAAAGAATCGAGTAAATGGTTTAAAAAAAAGTGAATCAAGTGAAATTTGAAGGTGAATGTTAAGGATTAAAGCAAAATACCAAATTAAAGGATTCAAGTATTTAAGCAAAGTGAAAGTTAAAGGTAAAGGGCTGATACAAAATGTTAAAGCAACCGATTAAAGCAAAGGGTTAAGATAAAACGTTACAGTAAATGACCAAAGAAATTGACCAATGGGAAAATTAAAGATGGATAGTTAAAGATTGACGGTTAAAGCAAATGATTAAAGCAAAGGATTGAAGTAAATATCTAAAGTAATTGAGCAAAGGGTTAAAGCAAAGGATTAAAATGAAACAATAAAGAGAATAGTTTTAAAAAAGCATGTGTAACGTAAAAATCGAAGGAATACGATTAAAGCAAAGGATTAAGTCAAAAGGTGCGAGTTAAGGACTGAGGCATAACACTAAAGTAATTGGTTAAAGAATTGAGCAAAGTAAAAGTTGAAAGTGAGGAGGGGTTCAAGAGAAGGGTTAAAATAAAGAGTGACAGCTAACGCTTAACCTAATGGATTCGAGAGAAGCATTCGAGCAAAGGATTAAAGCGAATGCCTGAAGTAACTCGTTGAAGTAGAAACTGAGGGGTCAAAGCAAAGGGGTTGAAATAAAGAGTAGAAAGAAATGCTTCAAGTAAATGATTCGAGTAAATGCTTCGAGTAAATGGTTCAAGTAAATAGTTCAAGTAAATTCTTCAAGTAAATACTTAAAATGAACAGTTCAAGTAAAGGTTCAAGCAAATAGTTCAAGTAAATGGTTCGAGTAAATATTTGAAGTAAATGATTCAAGTAAATGGTTCAAGCAAATAGTTCAAATAAATGCTTCAAGTAAATGCTTCAAATGAACGTGGTACAAGTAAATGGTTCAAGCAAATAGTTCAAATAAATGCTTCAAGTAAATGCTTCAAATGAACGTGGTACAAGTAAATGGTTCAAGCAAATAATTCAAGTAAATGGTTCAAGTAAATAACTCAAATAAATGATTCAAGTAAATAGTTCAAGCAAATAGTTCAAATAAATGCTTCAAGTAAATGCTTCAAATGAACGTGGTACAAGTAAATGGTTCAAGCAAATAATTCAAGTAAGTGGTTCAAGCAAATATTTCAAATAAATGCTTCGAGTAAATGCTTCAAATGAAACTACTTAGTCAAAGAATCATCCTGATCTCAGAGGGGGGAGGGCAACTATTTGGAGAATTTGTGCGAGATCCGAGGATAGCCAGCGGAATTAGCAAACCGATGCGGTGTCCACAGTCGCGGTTCTTAGAATCGCGAGATCTATAGGGACAGTATCGTCTCGGATTTGTCGCGACGAAAACGGGTAACGTTGGACGGATAACAAAAGCTCATTCCGGCGTTTCGTAGCTGCAACTTTCGCGGCCGTTTCGCCGCACCGCCATCGACACGCGCGGGAATGGTCGTGGGAGAGACGGCGCGAACATTTCCGAGATAAGAACATAATTCAAGCGGCGAGTCGCGTTACAGAGGAATTCGTCACACGAGCATACACACGCCGCTACCGCGAATCAAACGCTTTTCCTGTCGGATCGTTGTTAATGGAACACCGCCGGTAATACCCGACACCTGATACCGATAAGGCGAACACGAGAGCAAACCGCTCGACAGATCCCGCTGATATTTTCCAATTGAATGGCCAATCGCTGAGAGATGCACTTCCGGATTCTGGATTAGGCGCATTGCCTCGCGGCGGATCGGGGAAACGTTCGAACTGGAAAGCTGCTTTCCGAAAGTAACGGCTGCGGGGTGCTGAATTCGCGATAATTTTTCGTCCGCGGAATTTCGGCAGTATTTTTGATACTTTTTACAATCTCAAATCGCGAGGAAACTCGTTTCTTGGCATTCGCTTCGGAAAAGAAATGCTTGACAATTTTCTGTGTCAACGAGAAATGTTGCAAAAATCTTGAAAACAGTTGCAGCAGATGCAAAATAGAACTTTCTTAGAACTAGATTTCTTTTCTTAACAATTAATATATGCTGCAAGTAACGTAAATGTATTTCTAAACTCTTCGGATGATTTTTAATGTTTTGTCGAATATCTATGCAATTGGAGCATTCACAGATTTTCTAAACACAGAGAAACGCTGACACCAGTTGATATTTTGCTTTTTATCCATCGTTTTTATCAACGTTGGAATATTGCAGTGACAACTGCGTTGATACTTTTTAAATATTGTTTGATCATGTTGAGAGAGCACAGAGAACTGGGTGTGATTGGAAAATTTCGTGGGTAAACATTGGAAACGTCGTTCTTCCGCCGCGAGGTTTTCCATTTTCCGGTGAACGGCTTTTCCAATTATCTCTTTCCGGCAATTTCAAATACAAAACGGATTCAAGCGCACGCAAATCCAATTAGGTTAATCCCCGTGGTGAACAGACCTTCCGAATCGAGTTTCTTGAAACCGAATTCCGCATCAACGAGGTCCGCGCATCCGATTAACCTGTTAACTAACGCACCGATCACGACCACAACTGCTTTCATTTCGACAAATAAGAGTTTTGTATTTATTTTTGAGTAATAAGAATATAATATAATATAATATATATATATTATATTATATATTATATTTTATATTTATATTATATTATATTATATTATATTATTATATTTTATATTATATATTTATTATATTATATTATATTATTATATATATAATAAACACAAAACTCTTATATATATAACTCTTATATATAGCCGAGGTGCAATGAAAAATGATAGTGCACAAATGCAATATATCGTTTGTATTCCTTCTTGTTTAACAGGTTCAATTTTTCAAAAATTATTATGCCAAAGATAATTAATGATATAATTAATTAAATTTATTTTATTTTATTTTATTTATTATTCATTGAATTAAACTTTGCATGCGAATTCCCAAAAACGCATTCTGT